GTGTGTGTGTGTGTGTGTGTGTGTGTGTGTGTGTGTGTGTGTGTGTGCGTGTGCCGTGCATGTGTGTTTTATTTTAGTGAGATAGATGTGATGACACAATTTATTCTTAAACTCTGACATGAGATTTATGAAATCATGTGATAAGGCCCACATTTGAACACAAAATTGCACAAACAAGTTAACGAGCAGTTCAGTTTGGGAACTTAAGAGAACAGAGAGCAAAGTCCCAAATAAATGAGCTCATCAGGTCACACTGGCAGAAACATCTCCGTTACTGATGGCAAAAAGAGACGGACTTTGTGGACTCAGACAATGTTTTCTTTGGGCTTTTGACAGCTTACACTGCTAATCCGGAAAAGTTGGACAAACAGACAAATCGGGACAATTATTTATCATGAATAAATAAATACATACGTACATAAATGCCAAAATAAATACACAAATATGCAATTTATAAATAAATAATACACGAATAAATAAAGGATGAAACTAATACAGAATCAATATATTTATAAATAAATACATGTTTTTCATGCATTTCTTATCTCTACTCTTATGTCTATTTATTTTTCTATTTCTACGTCAAGACTTTTCTTGATGTCTGTACTTCCGTGTCTGTATGTTAATGAAGTAGGTGTTGCCTCACGCTAATGCAGAATTGCTCACAGGATCTGGTTCAGTACTGCTGCCAAGTTTGTCCAGCTGACCAATCCTGCTTTAGAGTCAATTTAGTACCACCTGCCTCAATAATATACAGAAACAAATAAATTAATTAACATAGAAATCCATATGTCTATTCATTTATTTAGTTAATTCAGCATTTATTTATTGATGAATACGTCATTTTTCATACTGTATACTACCCTTCTCCCATTGCTTGCCAAATGTTAAATGGATATTTTCAGCTCATATTTCTTGATAAATCTTGTATTTTGAGATATTAGAACCCAGAATAGTCACCTAGAGCATTTTTATTTATTATTTCAAATTTAATTTTGTGGCATAATTTTTAAGGTAAGACACTGTGCAGGTGCATAGTGAGCTCCGTCAAATTACATATGTTTTCTGATTGAGAGGTCAAGTTGTTACAGAAAAAAACCCTGGTACCATGTCCTCAAAAACAGGCGACATTTACCGACTTTATGGAGTATCTTAAAAATGCACAATACCTTCCTCTGCCGCCTCCTCCTCCTGCTCTTCCACCTCCTCCTCCTCCTCCTCCTGCTCTATCCCCGGCTCCCCTGCTGAGCAAAATGACAGAGCTGTTTAGTAAAGCCAGTCAGCCAGCAACATTCAACAGAGAGAAAGAAAAACGCCTTTCAAAGAATGAACGATTCTGATGTAATCATTAATGAATGTCAGTCACAGCCGGTGCTGGAATGTAACTTAGTGCATTTACTCAAGTACTGTACTTGAGTACAACTTTGGTGTACTTGTTCTTCCTATTTTACTTCAGTATTTTGTTTGCATGCCACTTTCTCCTTTAACTTTAACGTAAATATTGTACATTCTGCTCTAATGATTTTTTACTCGTTACTTTACAAATAACATTTTGGCATAAAAAAAATTTGAAGTGATTTTGAAATATGATGCTTTGCTATGAGCTAAATACCACTATATAACTAGAGCTGCTTATTTAATTAAATTCAATTAAAGTCAAGTTACAGAATATTAATTGGAAACTATTTCAATAATACCACTTCATGGTTCCAGCTTTCAAAATGTGAGGATTCGCTGCTTATTTTTCTTCAATTTATTAATTTTAATTTATTGTCGATCATGTTGAAGTCGGGACTATAGGTTGCACAAAACAAGCATTTTAAAAGTGTCACTTTGGGAGCTCGGTACTTGTGACGACATTTCTCACTATTTTTAAAAACAATTCTGTAAATTTAGAAAAGTATCAGCAGATTAATCCATAACAAGAAATAATTGTTGTCCTTTAAAAAAATAGTTTAAAAAAATAGCTCAGCCAAGTAATAATAATCTAACGATATAATATATAATAAAATAATTTTACTTACTACTCGGTGCATTTTCCTGACTATACGTACATACTTTTACAGTATTGCATAACTTTCACTTGTAATGGGGTATTACTACTTTTACTTAAAGTTCTTAATACTTTCTTTGCTACTGGTCACAGCAATGTTATTTTAACCACAGGCACACTGACTGCCAATGTTCATCACTCCCCCTGTTGCTCGAGTAAGTCCTGATGAAACATGACCACAAACCATTCATCGATGACCCAGAGCTTCATTCATGCATTTAATCCCATACCTTCAGTAGTCTCCTCTTCTGAATCACGCAGCCAGGACAACACACAAGAGAGGGAATTCACAAATGTATTTATCACAATGACGAAGCAATGCATGTTATACACATCCAAATACTTCTGTAATGCTTAAACTGATTTACGTTTTGTGGATTTGCCAACAAAAAAAATCAATCTTTGGCTTAACAAGTCCGTGTTTTAGTACAAACACACTTTGTGCTGCATTATGATGAACCTCAAACATTAGAGAAAAGCCTGACCTACAGTTATGGAAGCAGTAAGCTTAACAAACAGGCTGAACATTTACATTTGATTCATCGATCAATTTGACATTCGCATGTATAAAATCCATATGAATGTCTTTACAGTCCTTTGTAATACTGTGTATGTGCAGATTAGTGGTGTCGGGTCACTACACTAAACTCACTGGATTACAAAGGAACGTCTGTCAAAGCTGAATGGCTTTAGTTTCAACCATAGATCACATCTTTCAGTGAGGTAGTGATAGTGAACATATACAGTATGTGGTGAGTTATGATGGGAGTTCTTACCTTCCACCTCCCTGTGAAAGTCAAACACATACCTACATTATAATGCTGGTAGAAAAATATTGAGCAATCTTTCATCACATTAATTACAGCTGTCATTACAATGCAGTAAACTACCTGTTTGTCAATTTACAGTCCAGTTGTGTAACAGATTATTTTTATGGTTACACAAGACGCGTGTACAGTCTATTGAAGCAGAAGCATTGAGCTTTTGTGTGATCCATAAAAAAAAGCTTTAACCTACTCCTCACACTCCTCCACCACTTCCTCGTTGTCAGACATGGCAAGGAACGTTCAGGCGCGCAGCAGGGAATCTGACCATTAAAACACGAGTCCATAAATTCACCTCGTAATCATGTTACCCTTGAAATTATTTACAGCTTCATTATAACATTTTATAGCATGAATACTGCATTGTGGTTGCACACACGGGTAACATTATAATCAGTAAAACTTACCGGAGTTCGAGTAATGAGGAAAGCAAGCGTAGGGAGAGACTCAGTGTGCAGCAGAGGGAAGGTGACTTATTTTACTAAAAGGACAGTGAGGTGGGTCTCAGAGGGTAAAGGGACGGACTGAATAGTGGGAAAGAGACTTTAGGACCCTTTGTTGTGTTATTAATAACTTTTTAGATAGCATGTACTCTCCATTATCACCATTCCCAAAAAAGGCCTCTGTGTGTAGGAGTGTGGTGTGCAGTGCCCAAAGGATCCAGATAAAGCCACAGTTGCTCACAGACGGTGCTTCGGTGCCACACACACATTTTCTCGCCCTTGTAGCTCAACCTGCCGCTGACGAAACACAGGCATCCAACTCTTATCTGCATCCTCCCTCTACCTCGGATAAGTGATGTGACGGAGCATGTCTGCCTTTAAGCCTAGAAAGTGTTTCCGTGTCGTGTAAGTGAGCAATTGAAAGACATTTATGACATTTTACATTTGTGGTAATAAAAGCTTTTATTTCTTAGACAGGCAGACTCTTGACCACAGTGACTCAGAACAAAAACTATATTTTGTCAGATTAAACAAAAACATGAAATCACAGCTCCAGAATTCTCACTACTAAAAATAAGGCATTATTAGCCTCAAGACCTTCACCTGCTTAAAGTGCTTGAAAAATTACATAAAGTTAAGGCAAATAGAAAAAGAGCTTTAAAACAAAAATATCAACGTCTACTTTTCTTTTTACTCTTCCTCACACATTAAACCGTTTTGATGTTTGAAATAAGACATATTTGTACTTGCAGGAGAAGCAATGCAGGAGTGTATGATTGACGCATCCTAACTTTAAAAGCAGTAATCTCCATTTAAGACCTTTTTAAAACTCACTTTTTTTCTCTAATTGGCATATCTGTTCCTCCAGTGTGCTTTGGCAGTGAAGAAAAAGCATGAAAAAAGAATCAGTCAGTCATGGCATCCGTTAATCGTCCAGTTCTCTCACCGTCTACTAAATCCTACAAATAAGGGCACAGAAAAGGAAAGTATTGCAGATGAAGCACATTTTCAGTTCATATTTAAATATAAAGTTGTGTTACGGTGCAGTGTGGGGACAGAGATCTAATCTTACCTGTTGAGAATTGTAAATGGACATCTTTCACTTGTAGACTTTTCCAGGGCTGGCTTCTGGGAAGCTGCCCTCCTCTCTGCTCTCAAACAGGCTCCTCTTACCGGTGATGTCCACTTGTCTCAAGTCCTGCATATAGAAAATGTAAGAATTTCAGACTCATTTCTACAAGACGATCAACAGTGAACAGCCAGTTATCCGGTTAAACTAAGTCTCTATTCACCAGAAGTCAAACTCTCTGACTGAAGGAGAACAAAAAAAAGACTAAACATACTGATGTTTGCAATGAATTTAATCTTAAATAATCATAATTGCTGGAACTAGAGGAGAAAGAACAATAAGGAATGTTATCTGAATTGGTTAGGTCAGGGCTTACTGATCATAGGTAAGCAGGAAGAAGAAGAATATCCTGCTCAGAACACTTGAGTCACACACAGTATGGCTGATAGAGTGCTACTGCCCTCTAGCTGCCACATGCTACTTGCATACCTCCTTACATGACGCAGTTTTAAACAGACACGTGACAATGCAAATAGCCTTACAGTTGGACTCTGGGTAGACCCAGTATCGTTGGCCTTGTCGAGCCAGCGGTTGATCCGGTCTGACATTCCTGATGTGAAGCTCCTAAATTCCTGTGAATTTCCAACAGAGATGTGAAATAATTATAACCCGTCCGTGCTAATGATATCAACGCCTGCATTGATGCCACACGCAGAGCCGACGAGTGTAAATGTACCTGTCTGGAAACTCCCGGGCTGGTGGGGCTCGCTGCCTGCTGCTCCTTCTCAAAGAGGCCTCTCTTCCTGGACACCTCATCCAGCAGGAACAGTGTCCTTTGGGCCACGTCTGGAGATCGCATTATTTCTGACTTCTACGCACGTATAGGAAGCAGAGAAGAGTTGAGGGGGAAAAAACATCAGTGTCGATATAAAAGTATGAAAATGATTGTTACTTGAGTTGACTTCTGTTTTGTTGCAGAGAGTCTGACCTGTGCAGCCTGAGCCAGTCTCTCCATCTTCTCCTTGATGGACCTGGATGAAATCCTCTGCTTGGAGCTGGACAAAACAGAATGCACATAAGCCTGGTTCGATCTGGGTACCCTTACTTTGACTAGAATAACAATAATAAAAACTTTAGAAAGAGGTACAAAAAAAATAATTTGGCTAAAGAAACTCACTTTCTCTGGAAAGATGATGTTTTGTCTTCATCTTCATTTTGGTCCTGGATAATTAACATTACACACACTGTTAATCATCTATACTTTAACACATACATTATCGAAGTAAACATCTGCGATCTCTGTACTCAACTAATAATGAAAGAACACCTTCCTGTGCACGGTGCAGAGCGATGACTGTGAATCTCACTCAGAAATTAGAAACTATAAAGCCAAGACTCTTACTGTGTTCGATTCAAACGTCTTGGAGGCCATCCTCACACTCGCACTACAAGAGAATAAAGCACTCATCAATCAACCCGAGATGGACGGAAATAAATAGCCTCAAAATAAAGACGAGTGTTTTCTTACCTCCTCTGCAGCGGTGCAATCTCCTCTTCTTTCTTCCTCATCATCTGTTAAACCGAGCATATGTGAATGTTAGCAGACAGTCGTCCAAATATCAGCAGCTGATGACCAACACAGTCATCCGGTCTCTTGTGATGAGTTAACAAAGCAACTAGTCAGCAGTAAAAGCTGGTAAATATTGCTTCAGCTATTAGCATAAGCCCGAAGCTTGAGTGGCACAAGCAAATGACCCTCAACTGATAGTCTAACAGCTGATGCAAGATTACATGGTGTTTTAACAGTCAAATAGGCAAAAGTTAATGTTGGCATTTAGAAGGGAGAAGGTGTGCGTGCGTGTGTGTGTGTGTGTGTGTGTGTGTGTGTGTGTGTGTGTGTGTGTGTGTGTGTGTGTGTAGGTTAGATGTGGTTACCCTGAAAGATATAGTCCTTGAGCTCTGTCTGACCAACGCAGGTTTGGCCGTCTGTTCAAAGTTGCCGTTGGAGGAAGAGCCGTTCATCCCGGTCTGAGTTAAAGTAAAATATAATTTACTTCTACTTATGATCAGATTCAACTCTTCATCTTCAGATGAGGATGAGCTCCAGCGAGCATTTCCTCTGTTCTTCAAAACTGTTTACTTTGTGCAAGCTGCAGGTAAAACTATGGAGCCAATGATACAGTAGTTGTTGTAGGCGCTAAGACTGCGACATTTACTCTTTTAATCACCAGAGGGTGCTGTTGCTTTATTTAATTGATGAGCAGTGGTGCCCGCACTGTGCAGCCAAACTCCATGAGACAAGCAAAACCTGAAGCACAGATAGTTATGTTTTAAATGATATCGGCTGACCTACCTGCTGTGTGTGTCCATTCTGAACAGGGCTTTGAGGGCCACGAGGAGAGGGGCTCTGGCTAGGCGACGGCCAGTGTTCTCGAGGTGATAAGGCGGCCGTAGGGGAGCGAGGGCTCATGGGACTTGCGCACCCGCTGGCCGAGGGGCTTTTGTCGAATGAGATGGAGATAGAACTGCAACATCAAAACGAGTGAGATGAAAGGTCAGTTGAAGATGTGAATGAGGAAGCAACAACTGATCCAGATGACTGTAAAGCTGCAGAGTATTAGAGTCTTTACTGCAACCTTTTCACCTTTGTCACCTTTTGAAATATTGTTTTCTACATTCTGTGTTCACTCATAATGCTCATAATACATCAAACCAATAAAATGATGCCATGGGGAAGCTGTCTGTATCCAAACAGAAAACCAGAGGTACCAATGCTGCCTCAATGTCTTGTTATCCAAGCTTCTTAGAGAATATTCTCTCCAGCTATCCTGCCAGCAGATCTTGGTTAGACAGAAACATGTATAAAGGCGTGTGTGTGTGTGTGAGTGTGTGTGTGTGTGTGTGTGTGTGTGTGTACACACACATATTTGACTTCTGGTTGCTATTTCACTGCTCTACTACACTGTTGTTTTTCCTGCTGCACTTTAACTTCCCTGTGTTGAACCTTTATCTTATCTTAAAGAAATGTTTGATCTGCATTTGATTCTTCCCGATGACTCATATACGAAAAAAAGAATAGACATTAAGTTGTGCTCATTGACCTGACAAACTTGCGAGCCGGGTTGGACGATGGCTTGAGATCAGGGTCTTTGCGCGTCGACTCTTCGTTTTCGTGCTAACAAAGAAAGAAACAGGAGAGACGTGAGCGCACAGCATAAAAGCTTTTGAACAGAGCCACCTGAGACACGCCTCACAATACATAACACTGTACGGTTATGGCCTAATTTGCAGATACACTGAATTATAGACGCCTGAATTAGAGCCGCCTCTCAGTGTAATGAAAGATAAAGTTCATATTATGACCTTAAGCACGCCTTATCAAAGTTTTATAGATGATTTGCATGGTCATTTGATTCACGGAAAAGAGTGCAAGTCCAGTCCAGTAATAAGACGGGTGATGATCCAAACAGTATTTTAGTTCTATCATCCTTTTTTATATTCTGATGCCTTCATATTGAAAGAAAATGTACCAAAGTTGTTAGCAAATATGTATGGCATGCATGTGTGTATGTGTGTGAGCCTCTTGCACTCTCTTTGTCTGGGTTTGTTCACCTAAATATTGTTAATAATGCACACTGGCTCTTTCCATCTTAACAGGACTTGCAACATCAGTATACTCTGAGCGGAAAAGAAGCTGTTGTTTTTCTAGAATGTAGAAAATGATTAACATGGCTCTCCCTCTGCGTGGGGTAAGAGTTAACTGTGTTTATCACACTGCAGGGTGGCATTATTGGCAGCACTGTGTTGTGACTGAGAGAAGCATTAATAGAGTGTTTGTCTACCTGTCTCGTCAAACGTCAGTAAAGGCAGTGTATTCAATTGTAGTGATGGTAATGTGGGTCGGTTAGTCTACCACTTTGGTCCAGACTGAATCATCTCAACAACTATTGATGGATTGCTATCACAGTTTTCTCAGACATTCATGGTCCCCAGAGGATGAATCATAATGACGTTGCTGATTCTGTGACTTTTCCTTTAGCATCACCAGCAGGCCAAAGTTTTCCCTTATCCCCTGAAATATTTCAACATCTACTGCCTAGATTAGCACAACAGTTGGTTCACAATGTGTCCTAATCCCTTTGGCGATCCATCACGTCAAAATCTCAGTTTGTTTAAAGCGTTGGTTTATGACCAAATATCTGCAAAACTCCCATCAGCCTCAGCTGTACTTGTTTTATAATAGTTAGCTAATGCTAGCATGCTAACCTATATATGGCAATCATTACACCAGCTTAACATCAGTATGTTTGCATTTTCATTGTGAGCATGTTAGCATTTAGCTCAAAGCATGTGAGGTGCAGCCTTATCGAACAGCTTGCATGGCTTTAGCCTCTGAGTTGAGTTATAACATATTAACCATGATAACAAAACATTTCTTTCACTCTGCTGGAAGGCAACTCCGGTCTTACTTGTCTGTTTGTGACGTAAGTGCTGGTATTGCTGGCGCTGCTGGTGGTGGGGCTGTCGGAGGCTGACCTTGGGGGTGGTTGTGGTCTGGATGTGGATTTCACAGAGGGCAACACACTACCCTGATGCTCATCCATGTCCCCCAGTAGCTCCACCCTGGCTCCTCCTTTGCAGGCCTCCGCTTCATCCTCCCCTACTTCCTTCTGTTGTCTCAGCGTCTCCACGTGCCTCATCCTCCGCTTTTCATCTCGGACACGCAGCATGTCCACAAAGTCTAGCTGCACCTGCTCCACACTGAAAAGAAACGGTATATGCACACTCGTGAATGACCGATAGATACGACGGATCTTCTCTAATGAGGGAAAGGACCTGTCAGTCTTGTGTGTGTGTGATCAGGTTTCTCTAATGAAAGGCTCTACAGTTCCTCTCTCTCTTTGAAGACTGCTTCTGCTCCAGGAGCTCAGCTGGTGGTGTTTTTGATAGCTTTTCATACTTTCTATACATGGTGTCAGGATTCACATGTTTGAAAAGTATACAGATGACACACTCCCATGGGGCAAAAGGGTAAGAATCCCCTCTCCCTGCCTCTGAAATCTATCTGCTGACAAGGCAGCATCTCTATGGTCCTCTAACAAGCGAGAGATGGAGAGAGTGAAATGGAAAGATAGAAGAAGAGAGAGATAGTAGCGATGTGTAAACAAGCAGAGCTAAAGCAACAGAATCCTGTTCAGATGGTCTATAAATCAAGCTTTGACAAGTTCGAATGAATAAAGCTCTGTATTAAATCGTGAGAATAACCTGCTGAGGCCCTGGGACATAGCACTTGTGGAGTCTGTCCCAAAGGTGCTGTCACTGGTAGGCGTGTCTCCGGTTGTTTGGCTGAAGTCATCATCTTCTGCGGGACTGCTCGAGCTCTTCACCCTCCTCCTCTTCTCTCTTTCCACCTCCTCCTCATCCTCCACTGTCCACTGGCGCGCTAGGCTGAGGACAGAGTCATAACGCGCACGGGAGATGTACATAATATTTAGAGAACGTGGATGTAAAACAGAAAATTAAATGGAGGCAGAGAAACACAAAATGGTTTTCATGAAAACTACAGAAATGAATCCTATTAAATGTTCATTTTGGTTGTTGGAAGAGACAGATCGCTGTTATACCAGTTACACAGAACCTGCTTTACTTGTTCATCAACTGTTTACAGGTAGAGTCACAGTTGGTTGCTTGTCTGAACAACTTCAAATATACCAGACAGTCAGTCTAGTATTATACAGGGACGTATGTAGCCAGTTACAGTGGGCTGATGTTTCCTGTGGAGGAACATGTTAATTCAAGGGTAAGACCAGTTATCTCTATACTTTAACCTGAAAAAAAGACAACTGTGACTTTATAGCATAGTCTTCAAACATAACAGCAAAGATAAAAGTACCTGTAATAATATGATATAGCTGTTTCATTATGCTACTGTGGATTTGCATATTAGATATTATAATGTAAACTGGCTTTTGTTCCACTTGACTGCAAGAGTGAGCTGCATGTATTCTAGTTCAGTGACTAAAGTTAAACTTTATAACGTCTACTGTCATAAAGCAGCAGCTACTCTGAAACACAGGCTTCATATTCTCTTTAAAACATCTCCAGATGTAGTCTTACCTGGACAAAGCCGACCAGTTCTTCCGACTGATGGACATATTGCACTCAAAAATATAGAAGTTCCCAGCAGAGCTTTGCTCACAGACAGAGAAGAGTCGACTGACTTTGTGGCAGTCAAATTACAGTCAGTGCAGCACAAAGCAGTCCACCTTTACCCCGGTGCAGCTCACCGAGGTGTCACATGACCACAAAGGTGTGTGTGTGTGTGTGTGAGAGAGAGAGAGAGAGAGAGAGAGAGAGAGAGAGAGAGAGAGAGAGAGAGAGAGAGACTGCTGCGATACAGTTAAAGCTAACACAATACGCAGTAATCATGAAAAGTCAAATTTACGTAATGGGAACATGGGAAGTTATATGTAAATCAATAGTTATTCAGCAATTACTAAATAATCACTAATTTAAGCAGAAAAAGGTTGTATAGTATTTTCTTTAGCGCTTTAGAAAAAAGTTTGCAAACGATCAAACACACAGGATATTAACAACAAAATACACTTTAAATAGAGATAAAGATACAAAATACGAGCAACAAAAATGAGTGAAAACAGGTTTTAAAAAAAAGAAATGGCGATTGATTTGGATGTTCAATAGTAAAAGTATGTAACTATGTTTTGTGTCCAACTGGGCTTAGATGCTTTGTTGCATTGAGCAGTGGGTCTCTTTACAGTGTGATTCAGACTGTTTGCTGTGTGAGGCCACACCTGTCCTTTCCTCGGAGCCCGGTGTGTCGGACTCTGACCCAGGCTCGGGCTCAGGCCAACTCACACACCCTCCACCTCACCTGGCTTTATTACCAAACCTGTACCCGTTTCTTTTATTCTGTGCAGAGTGCATGCCATGAGGCCACAATAAACAGGATGAGCTGCTATCACAACTACAGATGTAGCTCCTTAATGCTTATCCAGATCAGTTCTTTTGTGTGAATGCTTTCACTCATGCAGGATTTGGAGAAGTCTGGCTTAAGGCTTGTCACGTCACTCCCTAGCCAAAGAAGCAAAGCGTGCATTAGTGCTGTCATTGTAAACATATTTTGTGTCGCTGCAGTGAACATTTGAATGAAAACATTGAGTGACCCATGAATACTGCAGGTTCTTTGCGTCCCGCAGGATTAAGCCAATAATGATTAAAGCACCAATACGGAAGCACTTGTCAGTGTGTGCTTTATGCACATGCAAAACAGATAGCAGCCGGAGCTGTGGACAGGATGCTGGTGTGGACAGCAGGCAAATGCATACAGTACGCCTATCTGCAGAAATGTTCTCTCTATGTTCTCTCTCTATCTTAGAGTCATGAGTTAGTTTGTCCTTATGTTCCTTTTTATATTCCTCCAATATAAAATGTCTGCAGAGTCCCCAGCCCATGCTAGTTGCTTGTTGGGCTGTGCTTTGTCACAGCAGTGCTTGGAGCTAAATGATCATGTTGCATGCTATGCTAAGACACTAATGCTGATGTCTAGCACATTTAATGCTTACCACGTTCGCCATCTTAGATTTGCATGTACATTTTCTAATTAGAACCAAAAAGAATGATTGATTCCAATGTATCCTGAGTGGAACATTGATATGTATGATATGTATTGATGTGTCTCTAACATATGACGCTTGCAGTACTGCAAAGGGAAGACGGCAGTAACGAGAAGACTTTAATCACCCTGATTTTCTTTGCATTTATTTAAAGAAAGCCATTGTTCATTTAGCACAGTTTTACAATGAGAAAAGCACCAATAAATGAAGATACATTTGGTGTGTTTAATTGTTGTTGTTGTAAATCCTGCTGATGACGCCATTTTGTTACAGTTTACAAAACCACACACCATGCTTACAGTTTTATCACCCAGCAATAATATCAAAGATGCAGTTGAATTTGGTCAGAACATATTATTATCATTATTATTATTGGCTATAATATCATTTGGCCTGCTGATTAAATTACATTACTATCCACAATTGCCTTCTGAAGATACAAGCTGCCTTTTTTTAAAACTTTGCTCTACAAATATAAGCCTAAATCTCTGGGGTTCAGTTATGAGAACAATACAAATAATAGAAAATGGCACACAGATAAAGTCATTTTTAACAGCATATCAAGCAACCGCAAACGGATCAGTTCTTAAGGAAAGTGGAGAAGACCATTCAGGAGAGTGGGGACATAGCAGGAGCATACACAAGAATGACCGCATTAAAGAGACATGTCGAAGCTGCAGTAGATGCAGTCTACGTGATGCCGCTCACATGACACCAGCCCATCACCTTCTGGGTTTTCACTGGGCGGGACCCTTTGCAGCATCGAACATCTTCTTCCTTCCCTCCATCCCTGACATGGCCTCCACATTCTTCCTCCAGTCGCTGTCCTCGACTGGCCTCTTCTGCAGATGGATACAGTGGAGAGTTAGATGGTATAAAAGAATGAGAGCAGTCGTTTTCCTGTTTTTTTTTTTTTTTTTTAAAAGAGACTGCGAAGTAGAGGAGGTATTATCATCATTGTTGTGTCTCAGCCTTTGAGGCCCAATGTTGTCAACTGGGAATCCCCTATGAGAGTATTTTATAACCATGCTAGTATAACTGGTTTACAGCACCTAATACAGACTCACATATCCATGCAGACACACACACAGATACACACTTGCATTGGTTAATCTGAACATGTACATGCACGCACACAAACACACACTGACCATGGAGCAGAACCGCTCACAAAAGCTAGTCTTCTCTCTACAATGGGTTCATTGTCTTGTGTACCGTACTTCCTCTCACACGAGCGCGCGGTCGCGCCCTGCACTGACCTACCGCTCGGTATCTCAAACACACGCTCCACACACACAAACACACTTTTCAGGTGTTTTATGGCACTTGAAGCGCTGATGTCATGTGTGTATCTGAAACTTCACAGTAGCTACCTTGCTCGCTTGCCCTAAGGAAGGTACACATCCTGCTTGCACTGGTTTGCTTGTGTTTTGTACAGGCATGCCCGAGTGTATTTGGTCTTTTATTTCCCTCTGCACACACCTTCTCAGTGTCCTCTTTCTTGACAGACTTGAGGTTGGCCCGGAGGTCCATGGAGACTTTGTGCTTGGAGCCCAGCAGTGAGCGAAGGATGGCGTCAGCAGACACACGAACGCGACGAAGACTAGGTCTCTTGAATTTCCCCCTGAGGTCCAACACTTTAATGTTCAGGTCTTTAATCTGGATCAAGGAAGGATAGTTGAATGGAAATTACCATCAGTACTGTTCAGAAGATGTTCTCATGGGGACATTGTGACACTGCATCTGCTTATATGATCTTTACATTTCCAACATGGAAATAGGCTGAGGAAGTGTATACCTCACGTGTGTTGAGCGTGACTTTAGCTTCAATGTCGTATCGCTCCTCATCCACCACATCTATCTTGGAATGGAGCTCGTTGCAGAGGTCCTATACGTATACACACACACACACATAAGACACAAAAGTTAAAAACTTGTGTTATAAAAAAGTTTTCAAAAGCAACCTCAAATTTGTGCATCTGGAAAACGGTCAGTTGCAGGGCGTCATACTGTATATCCTGTATATGAAGGAGCTGCAGTGCCCTGAATTCCTTTGATTTAAGAGAATTTGCTGAAGTAGAAAACTCTGTTTGGTGGAGTATTCTTTTATGGGAGAATTCTGGGAATTTGAGACCAAGTTACCTGTAGCTGTGCAAGGCTCAGGCTGCTGGTGTTTAGCGGAGGAGCTCTCTCTGACAGGTAGTTCTGTTTCTCCTCCTCTTTAACCACAACCTCCTGCTCCAATTCCTCCTTGGCTCTTGCCACCATCAGACTCTGCACAAATTTGAATGGACATATAATGCAATGTAATGCTGGATGCTTTTACATTGCTCTGGTAAAGCACATCAGCACATTATGTTTATGGAGTTTAGAAGAAGTATCAGAAGATAAAATACAGTACAGCTTTTAAAAACATGACCTCTGCTGCTCTCCTGTGGTCAAACACATGTATTACATTATAGTTTGGCAGAAAAATTCGGTCCATGATCTCTCTTACCTTGAGCATCAGCTTCCTTGAAGCTGAGATCTTTGGCTTCCTCTGGATGGAGAGCATAATTCATGATATTACACACATATATGTATGTGTATGTATGTATATATTAAATAAATGATTATTTATAGCATTTAGAAATACTTTAATAGTGATAAAAATGGTCTTACCTCTTGCCTATAAAATAGAAAGAGAAAAGATTTAATGTAAAGGAAAAAACAAAATTATTGCTAACCAAAGCTCAAAAATATAATAATAATGGTAATAATGTGTGTGAATGAGTAAATGATCTAAAATAAGACCACAAAGCCTGATCACTCACACATGCTCAGGCATCCTGCTGATTAGATCTCACTGGAGGAGAGACGGAAGAAATTAGAAACACGCACACACACACTGAACAGTTGTCATTGTTTGTTCGCGTAGCCTTTGGAAGGCCAGATCATCTTTCCACTCTGCTCTATGAGCGCGCTCTCAGACTGTCTGTTTCAATGATTGTAAGCTGTCAGCAGGCCAATCATAGAAAAACTCTACTGACTTCTACTCTGCTGCTTCTAAATGCTCTCTTGACACTTGATTGTCATACTTCATAGAAGTGGGGCGTCTACTTTTCATATCTTATAAAAACTAATTTGTGCATGTTGTAGAAACATCGTAGTTTCACATGACTGAATTTCTTGTGAGAGCAAGAAACGGTGAACAGCATTTTCTTTGTGTTGCGTCAAAAATACACATTAGAGAAACTCACATATTCTCAGACTTCACTGTGGACAGTTTTGCTTGGAAAATATTGTTGTCTACCTAATGTAAAATATCATGAAAGGTATGACAACAAGGCGTAAGGTGAGACTGCCTTTTAAGTGGGCTTGTCAGCTCATAGTGTTGTTTTCACATTGGCTTACCCCTCCTCATGAGCCTCATCATTTATCAAATCAACAAGTGATTTTCAGCACTAAGCCCTTCTCCGTCTCACCTCTTCTCACCCTTTCTCTCTTAATGTCCCTCTTCCATTTCACTGGTTGAGTCCAGTTGAGAATGACCGCACCTAAGACCTCCTTGCATGATGGGGTTACAAGCAAATCCAACGGATTAGGGAAGATTCCAGACTGATACCCATCTCTCCCATCTCCCATCCCCATCTTTCTCTTCAGGATTATCTCGGGGAGAGGAATTTAGAGTGGCCTGTCTCCCCAAATAGATCAGGGGACATCTGATAGACAGCTGTGGAGGGTGATTGTGTGCTAGGGTGCCCGGCCTGGATCAGGGATTTACCGCCAGTAACTCATGGATGCTTATGATGCTCATGAGCCTCTGTGGTGCAGCCAAGTTGGCAATGAGAAAAACAGCCCACGGTGCTGTGGAAAGTTCACGTCGGCCTTGGATTTGAACAGAGATGCTTTGGTACAGATTTAAACCAACCACCTTGTATTATTTCAATTAATCATCCTGTTCTGGCTGATGCCCTTATGGTTTAGGTACAGCCACAGCCCCAAGGATGAAAAGCCCCCTGCTATTGACAAATTAACATCCAAACACTTCATATCAGAGCGCTACTAATATCCATGTTTACTGAATAGGCATCATATACTGTGCACTCATCCTCCTGTTAGTCTATATTTCCATTGCAAAAAACAATAGATCCAGGATATTTTCAAAACTTGGAAGAAGGCTACAAATAAATAGTTGCACCAGACAAATTTATATTAAACTGCCATCCATTCGGTTTGTGGACCATATATGCACGAAAGAAAGAAATAACACTATGAAGGGACCTTACCTGTGTCAGAAGCAGCGGACAGAAAGACGTGACAACAGCAGAGGTCGGATGATCAGAGATGAGGCCAACGAATTGGTGTCCCTCTATTTAACTGCACCCCCCTGACCCCTCCCCACCCTATTGTATCGCTTTCTCTTTTGTTAGTGGAGGCTATAATTAGTCAACCCCATCTCTCTTACTGCCTAATCTTGCCCTGCCCATTTGTCTCTTGCAGATTCATTATAAGGGACCAGCAGTTAGAGCTTAGAGATTTGGCCTGTGCACGACACATGGACAATGAAGGCAACTCGGATGACGAACTATAAGCATAATTCGGAACTATAGGCAGGAATTTTTATGTTTATACTGGTCAAAGGTGGCCTGTAAAGGGAATTCATGCCGATTGATTGAAAAAAACAACTTTTAAGTATATCAGTAAAAAGTGCTTGAAGAGAGAGAGAGGAACAATACCTGTGCCATGTAACGAATCCTCTATGTTTTTATACAGTACTTTTAGCCACACTAGTGGCTCTATGGATGGCAGCTCCTGTCTGTTAGTCCACCACTTTGGTCCAGACCTAAATATCTCGACAGCTATTACACGGAATGCCATGCAATTTGAGAAGACATCCGTGATCCCCAGAGGTTGACTCTTTGATGATCCCATTACTTTTTCCTCTATAGCTCCAACACGAGTTTTATATTTTTGTTGTTTACTTAAATGCCTTGACATCTAGTAAGTGCATTCAGTTCTGCACAGACATTCATGATGCCCAGACGATGAATCATAATGTCAAAATCAGGCCAAAATCAGCGTTCGCTGTTTACTGTGCGCTTATTGCTAATGAGCAAATGTAGACATGCAGACATTAGCATTTAGCTAAAAGCACTGTTGTGCCCAAGTACAGGCTCACAGAGCCGCTGGCATGGCTGTAGACTCGTCTAGTCTTGTTTATCCACACTTAAACCCCGAAGGGCAGATCAAAATGCTAGACATGCTTGCAGGAAGGCCCCTGGGATTTTTATGCCTTACATCAAGCCTTCCAGAGACGCACTCTTGACAGACAAATTGTCGCTGTCTGTTACTCAAATGAAAACAAAAGTAGAGCCCCACCACCAAAACGCAGAAGACAGAATTGACACTTGCTAATAATTCCAAATTGACTGGTAGATAATCACCAGGGCAAAAATCACCAAATGACTATGATGCTATTTTTAAAATGTGTACATGTTATCTTACATTTTAGGCATGTGATGGCAAGACAAGCCTTCATTCTCAATGTAAGAGTATTGCATCTATACAACATTAAGACACTCAGATCACGGTCCTTCTAAAGGAAAGAGAAAATAAAGTATGACCATTCCACACAGTAATATGGTATGTCAGGTTTATACAGTATGTTGTAAAGTATGTCAAGGTGGGTTGAAGAGAATATCAACCAAAAGAATAACACACTAAAAAAGCAATTAGCAGCCTGCACTACATGAACACTTGCCAAAAACGTTCACACACACAACAAGCCATACAAGAGTGAATAGAGAAGCTCTCTTCACTCAACAGGAGATCGGCAGACCTCTAGTGGTTGAGCACTCACACAGCAGACAGCAGAAGCCTGAGGAGAAGACTTGCAAAACATTTTTGCAGAGTGATTCTTTGTCAAAGAAGTGCGCACACACATGATTTTTCTTTCTTTCTCTTCCTACAAGCACTACAATACACTAATTAAATTTGCCATAATGTCGGTCCTGTTCTGACTAAAACCCATTCACCTGTAGTTCAGCTCATCTTCCAGGATTTGGTTTATGAAATTGCAGGACACCCTGGACAAAGGTTATGATGTTTAGACAGGGCATTCCACTGAGTAGTGTTAACATACACACTGTGGAGGACTGGACCTTGTACTCCACCCCTCATATCATAGACCCATTTTGACTTTTTGAAAGGGGGGCAGGTGATCGCACAAGTGGTATACATCACCTTATAAATCTTCAATAAAAATTGTGTTTTGGTTAGGTGCCTATTCAAATAATGAAAGTTCGAAACTAGTATATAACAGCTTTGACCATTATGATGGAAGTTGATGATGACCGTTCTCATGATCAATGATGTATCTTAAATTATGTGTTGTTCATAACCACTATCTTGGGCTTCTCCACAGATTTCCGGTGGAAATGCCTTAGTTTTGCATCAATATAACTTATCAAAGTGTCTCTAGAACATTTTGTTAATGTCTTTGTTTGTTTAGACCAAACAGTGTTTACACCAACGCTGGGTGTATCCACTCCTTGTGGTGCTCCTGGTCCCTTGCTGACTCATGCGGTGTGGCTAGCTTTGGGGTTTTCCACAGTAACGGGAGAAGTTGCTACACAATCAACCCTTTATTCCTGACCTGTACCGAGCTCCACAGCCACACACACACTGCTATGTTCTTGACACATACACACACATAACACATGCTTGAATGAACAATATACTGTATATAGCCCTCCGCTAACGAGTCTGCTGATCCTGAGACCTTGCTGAATTTCATGCTGGGTGTGCACGTAAGGCCTCTGTAGATGAGTATGTGTGGGTGGATGTTTGTGTGCACATGCCTCAGGCTCACTGCGTGTCTCATTAGTCCTCCACACTGCTCAGAACAAAAGCTGTCCTGACTCTGTGTGTGTGTTTGTGTGTGTATCTGAGGATGTGTATTTTCCAGAGGCTATAACAGCAAGGTTACACCACAACTGGAAACATAATGAGCTTAGCAATTAATGGGCAGAACCTAAAATATATTGCAGCTGACCATTTTGCTCCAAGAGCCATTATATGTTCCAGAGAAAGGAAGTATTGTTCTAAAATAAAAACACTCCAGGATTACTGACAAGAATGTATTTCATTGTTTTAAGATTTTAATACTGTACAAGGTTTCACCAAATATATAGAATAAAATGTGCAATGAATATGAGAAAAATATTTCTTCTTCATGTTCAACTTTAGCAAAAGCACGCAGATCCGTTTAGTCTTTCACAATTTATTTTTAAGCCAGTCAAACAGTGATGCGTTTCCATCGAAAGCAAGAATTAAGAAATAAAGTGACTCCTGTTTCAGCAATGTTAGAAAACGTTGGAGAAAAATGGAAGATATTTTTCGAACCTCCAGGCACAAGGGTTAAACAGTGTCCAGCCTCCATTGTCTCTTTCATAAACGCAATAATAAATAAACGCTATGTTTATTTCCTTACACAGCGGCCTCCAAAATGACCTCAGAAAAATACTTTTTTCCATGCTGCTTACGCATCAGATTCCTAGGCTTTGTGTAACAGTGTGAGTAAGCTCATGAAGGAAGACAGGAAGAGTGTCTGTGACACTTGTTCACGGCCTTTTAATCCATACTGATGGCCGTTCTGTACATCCCATCATGCTCTGTGCGACAGAATCAAGCCGATGGCCCCGACGTCCTCCACCCTTCCCCACTCTGATTGGTTCACTCCCAAAAAGTAGAAAGCCTGGAGAAAAAGAGAAGAGCACATTTGTAATATTCAATTCTTACTTCATACATTAGACACTGGGGTGGCTGATAGTGTTCTACAAAGTGCATTTGTAGTGACTTGTTACACTGTTACCACAGCTACTGAGTTAATTTGGGCACTTGACTACTGCAGCTCTCTTAAGGAAGCATCGCTGTGGATTCCTGGACCATGAGCTCATAGTTCAGACTTGCACACTCAGTTCCATTTGAGACGTCAGTGACCAGTTTCAGTAAATAACGTGTCATGTTGTCGTGAGATGGCACCACTGATTGTGTTCTAAATGTGGAAAAGCTGAAAAAGATGTCTGTGGCGCCGAGCTCTCCTAGCCCCAAATGTCCAATTGTCTATGTCAGCTAAATACATAAGAGAAGGTTGGTGTGTGTGTGTGTTTAAAAATACTTGGCTGCCTAGTGAGGGAGAGGCAGGCAGATGTTATTTTGGAGGCTCACATTGCATCTTAATTATGTCCTCAAGTGAAAGAGTGTTTGTGTCCTAAGACGACTGTGGTGCAGTTAAGGCCGATGACTAGTAATGAAAGCTGACACGGCCTTCACACTAGAGTGGAACATCTACATTGATCTACACACAAACACCGGTACTACTTGTAAATGACCTTTAGCTTGAGTGCCTCTCAGCTGTGTGCCACCTCAAGAGTCTCTGTGTTTTCATTCCATCCAATCAACGCACCTTGTCTCAACTTTGACCACAGGAGGGGAGATGATCAGTGAAGTCAGTGGCTGAACTGATTGAAGACTTTTTTTTTTTTTTTTTTTTTTTTTTCTCCGTGGAAAATGGTTCAGAACATCTGGCAGTTTTCAATTTATAAAACGTATACATTTACCCTTGATGTGTCTGAGTGATACTTTGACTTGGGTTTCATGTCAATCTCGGACACAAAGTTGGTACTGTGAACCTGAGACACTCCAGCTATGGGAGGGTGTGGTGCCACACTGTCCCCCACACCCAAAATAAATTTGTAAGTCTAAATAAGTTAATACATAGAATAACCTTGTCAATCCTATTTTCCAAATGTTTATGACAGCCAGTATAATTCACCTCCATCCGAGGAAGACTTACCTTCACCAGGTCAGAGCTCCTCATCCTCCCCAGTGCTGCCCAGGTGTGCTGCGGACAGGTGCCTGTTCCGTCCCGTTTGCACAGCCTGCAGGTTCTTATAGCGCACCAGTGCCAAAGCAATCTCCGCGTTCCACGCAGTGCCGTCCTGCGGACACCGAAAGTCAATCTCCTTACCCGTAGCCATGACCACGGTGAAATACACCAGCCCTCGCTTGTACTCCACGCAATCCACGGTGTCAATGCGCTCAAAACGGAGCTCCTTGGCTTTGGAGCTCCAAGCTGAGCTCGGAGCATCACCTCCGCCGCCGCCTTTGCAGTTATGCAGGCGCAGCCCTTCCTCGGTAAGCACGCAGCGCTTCTTCTTCCACAGCTGGAGGAGCCCGCTGCTGCGCTTCTCCAGCAGCCCGTCTCTCATCACTTTGGCCGGGAAAGACATGGCCACACAAAAGCCGGGAATTTAGAAAGTCTTCAGCAGTGATCCCAAGATGTATCCATTAAACACACATCTCATGTGTTACTGTGCGGCGCCAAGTGTCAACTCAAGAAAGCATATCGGGTTGAGCTATGTCATTAATAATAACAGCCAATAGAACAAAGCTCATATAGTCGGCGTTTATAATTGCAATCCATGCACAATGAAAACAGTCTGTAGAGGTTGGTAGGCTGGTCTGCCTGGATATGTTTGAACATGCCCGGCTCCTTTGTGGACCCACCCCGCCTCCTCCTGGTGACGGCAGGAGGAGATCCGGGCTGTTTATGAAATTCCCTGCGCGCGCGCGCGCGCGCGCGCGCGTGTGCGTGTGTGTGTCTTTGTGTGTGTCAGTGAGCGCACGTAGACAGTGTGATTTTACAGCACTGTATGTTATTGTATTTGTGTGAAATACAGTTATGGTTTTTGCCACCTCCCACTTAGGACATGCACCTGTTTATAGCAAGTAAAAGTAGTTTTAAGTCAACTTTTTAAAAAAAGGTTATTAGAATCAAGTTAAGTGACATCCTGTGTCTCTTTTGAGAGCTGGAATGCGAGTGGGTGGCAGGGTGGATAGAGAAGTCATGTTGCAATATGTGAGTGTGAGAGAGAAACACAGTGTTAGAAATGAATGTCTTCATTCGGGAGATATAAACCGATGACTAATCAGTCAATTAATCATTATTTTTCTGAAAACTATTTACAGTTTAGTGTATTTGCACCTGAGCATTCCCAGTTCTGATAAATTGTTTTATATTTATATACATTATACTGTACATAAAGGACCGCACCTCCTGAAATAGGAAGGCATGTTTGAAACCAATGAAAGCCAACTGAAAAATGATGAAATTAAATTAAGTGGAGAAACTGGTTAACAAACTTCAAAGCCTTCCTTGCTGATTCATCTGAAGTTGCACTGTTTTCATAGGAGGTAGTTTAATCATGGCACCTAAAAAACGTTTTGGCATTCTTCACATCCTTGGTGGCTGCATGGCATGTAATAGATTTATGGGTGGAGTGAAACTCCCTGAACTTTAAAAGATACTGGATTTATACCAGCACTGTGATGCGTCACTGCCATTTTATGAGAGGAATGGATACAATGAGTGTGGGATATTTATCGACACACCCACACACACACACACACACACACACACACACACACCCACACCTTCCGTCATATGTTCTTATGTATTTTCTGCCTCAATTAAGAAGAAACAGGCACTAACATCTTTGAACTTTATTTATTATCATTCTGTTTGGAAAGCATAAAATACAAAAAAAGCAGCATTTATTTTTTACATAGAGTATTGTTAATAACATACTGAGATTTCATTCAAGGAGGAAAACAACAGGGAAGGTGCAAATCATCAATGCAGCGTTAAACAGTATAATGTTTCAGTATGAAGTGTTGGTTATGTATCAGGATTTACTGTAACAGCACAAGTAATCATCTTTGTCCTATATGAGGCAGAGATGGTGTTGCATGTCTCACTGTTGAATCTTATAATGTAGCCCTTTATCAAGCCGTCAGGTGCTATTGTCAGGTGCTATTTAACAAGACCCAGACCTATCTCCACATCGATGTAGTCAGGTGTATGACGACAGGCAGCAGGCTGCCCTCTGCAGTAAGAAGACAGTCAGCGCAGCTTGCTGCAGAAATGTCAACGGAGATCTCAGTGGTCTGCTCTCTACTGAGTATTCACCAGCGCCCCAGCTCCCAATCCATACCCAAATCCCTTGGGACCAAAGTTTTTGCCATAACAAGCTGTTAGAAGGAGAAAACAAAGGTGATTAAAAAAACACTCCATGGCAAAAAAAAACACTGTATGGCTATATCCTTCAGTTAACAGCAGTTTAACGGCGTGTCTTAAGCATTTGAGTCGCTAGCTGTTTGTAATTCCACCTGTGGTTTTCCTGCCTCCTCCCTCTGTTTTCTTGTTTTTTTCCCTGCTAAAGTCTTAGTGAGTAATGCAACATTACGTGTCCAGTGCCGTGGTCACACATTTAGAATGGGGCTTAACGTCACTGCCTCTATGGAAATGGAGGTAATAGACCCTTTTCACAAATCGTCAAAGCAAGAAAGTAAAGATGTAAAGATGGACCATGAAGTGTCCCAGTAGGCCATACCAGTGAGGGAACATGCACATGATCAGAGCCCTGGAACTGACTCTCCTAAATGAAATGCAGCCATTCTTAATGTTTTTCCTGCTTTGACAAGTCAAAATCTCTTCCATGAAAAGGTTTTGTTGAAGATGTTTGATGAACTTAATTTATGTGTAATGCTTTGAATAACACTAACTGGGCCTGGCATACAATCTAGAAAGATAAACCCAAGTTTAAAACAACACATGGGATACTAGAACTTGAAATATATTAGCACCCTGCAAAAATGCTATGTGAGGCAGAGAAGTGCACTTCAATAATCACCGGAGTCTGGTTTGAGTTCTGAGCCTGTTCCTTTAAGTCAACAAAAACATTAATGAAACAAGCTTTTGAGCTATTTTTCCTATTCCTGCCAATTTTCTTGTTGTGCACTTTCGGATATCTTTGTGTATTGCGAGACCCGCTGCAGTTCAATTTATTTTATTTAAGACTGGACATTTGATTGTTGCATCCAATCGTCCCCCCTACTTTAAGAAGCAATCTTGTTCTTCTAATAGTCACACTGTATAGTTTGTGGTTGTATTGAATGGTATATCACAAATCATAGTCTCTTTCAGACAAATGCCGCCTGAATGGATCAATGCGAGTCATGCCGCCTGGCTTCACTGCTCTGGACCAAAAACAGGTCGGACATGAGATTACTATACAATTACTATCTTGTTGGCTGCAACTTCTAGACCAGTTGACCATGAATGAAATGTCAGCGTGAACTTGAACGCGCTTGTAAATGTATGTAAGAGACCATATGTGGTCTGGTGTGTTTATATGTTTTAGCAGTTCAGCAGATGTGTATGGAACCACAGGGCAAACCTAGGTCTTGTGTTGAATGTGATAGTATGAACAGCTTAAATGTGCATTCAAAATTGCATGTGCAGTACCAAACACAGGGTTTCTGTTTAGTAAGTGAACTTTTACCTGTGCAGTAGATTTCTCCATCCCGATCAGCTTGTGTGGTTGACTCAAGGCTCTTATTACATGTGGCACAAGTGAAACATCCAATCTTATGCCATGCCTATAAATGCATAAATAGAAGGTCCATTTTAGAAAGGGGTGTATTTTTTTGCAAGCATGAACATGCGTGTTTATATCTGTGTTTTTCCTTACACTCCCAGCTCCAATCACTTTCTCAGCAGCGTAGACGGCCTTGCCACAACGAGGGCACTTGTCTGACCCTCCAAACTTCTGAGCCAGGCTGGATGGGTTTGGGTTGCTGCTGGTGGGACGATGAGGAGCAGGTCTGATAGGGACAGAGATAAACCGTGGATAAAGGGCCTTTAAGAGAGATCGAGGAGTGTGTGTATGTGTTTGTGTGTTACTCACTCTTCATGTCTAATACCCAGAGACTCTCCCTTGTCCATGCTGAGTGTCCCTGCTCCCTGGCCATAACCGTAACCTTTTGGCCCGTACTTCTTGCCGTAGCACGCCTTGCAGTAGACTTCATCCATATGAACAGCTACAGTTGTGCTGTCCAAGTTCTTCCTACACACCACTGCGAAAACGGTAGCATGCACACCAACACACTATACTTGCATATTATTCTTTTGTATATTTGTGCTCATGTTTTTGAGCGCATTCATCTATTTAGATAGGCTCCTAACAGTTTCCTTTTATGGAACAGAAGAAACATATTCTAATCTAAATTCCATCACAGGAATGTTCGATTACAACGCAGTAACACAAATAACCCTCACAACTCCAGAAACCTATATATTTTTCAAGTTGAGTCAGAGAAACACTTTGTTAGTGTTTCTATGACAGGAGGAAATCTGCCATAGAAGAATACAAGTTACACATTTATGCTTATAAGTATTTACATTAGCTTGAATTTTTTGCCCCCTTTTTTAGCACCCATGCATGGTACCTATAGCAGCATTTTGTTTTATTATGCCATGCCACTTATGCATTTACATTTTTCTTTGAGGGTAGATGATCAACAGCTCACATTTGCTTAGTATTACTTGTGACTGTAATGACAAGTGACAAGTGTCAGAAGTTCAGCGGTTTCCACGTTGACAATGACGGGAAGAAGCAAAGAGTTTACTCACTGCACAGGAAGCAGGACTTGTGGAAGCTCCGCCCATCGCAGAGTACCTCTTCTGCAAAGTAGACTGTCTTCTGACAGCGGCCACACTTGTTTCCTCCTCCTAATGGCATCCTTTAGTAATTGCATGCAGCATGAACACAGACACAAAAACACACTGTGATAATAGCTTTATAATTGTCCAGAATCTGTCAATAAAGATACAGAACCTTAACAAAGAGACTGCGATTAACTGCGTTTCAGAGAGGAATAGCTAACAGTGAATTAGATGGTAAGAAAATAGTAAAATGCCGTGACCGTTTCTTAAATAGTTTATAGGTATTCTTTCAAGGCATGCAGTCAAAATGTTCTTTTCATGACCTGAAGCCTGTAATTTACATGTGTAAGTAGGCTTTAAATACAAAAACAAATGGATCAATGAACTAATTCCTTTACACAACCATCAAGCAAACACATCTACAAGAGTTAATATTCTAAGAAACCTGACTTTCAGATTTGGTGGCCTGTAATTTTGGCTTTGTAATGCCCAGAGACTGTAATTTCACTCCTGCCAGTTCTCTGTGGCTTCTGTAAAGGACCAGCAAGCCAGCAGTGAAGCAAAAAATACAACAACACCTTTTTTTTTTCTTTCTTTTTAGCTAGAGATGATATTTGCTCTCTCTTGAAAACTGAAGACATCCATGTGGAAGTAATGTGAAATGTGACTTTCCTGAGGAGTCTTAAAGTTGGTGGAATGTGAAAGACCCTGGCATCCTGTCGGTTTCTACCCAGCATGTTTCCCAGCACGACCCTCCCATTCCAGTCTCGTGTATCCACATTCCTGATCCACATTACATTACCATGCAAACCCTCCCACCTCCCTGACTCCCACCATCCTCTCCCTGCCTGTCTGTCTCAGTCTGCATCCCTTCTGCAGACTTCTACATCTGAGCTGTAGGTTTGTTCTATTAGGCAGGAAATATTTAGAAGAAGCAGATGCTACTCTACTATACTCTATTTTTCTAGTGGCCAGAGGATGGAGCTGAGCCTTTCAGAGCACAATATGGAAGTGTCACTTCCCATCACCCATGGACACACTTCCTGTGTGTACCAAATTACCTCGCTCCCTATTCTTAAACAGAAAGTACAACACCAACCCCAAAATTAAACACAACTTCTTTACTGCTGACACCACAATGGTGACGTACTGGTGATGTGCATTCAACATACATATATGTCAATGTTACATATACATATATCACGTATACAATACAATAATAAATAATCACTTTATCAGTATTGTCACATATGAAATAACTTCCGTCTTTTCACATACCATAGTTCTACTAGAATCTAATGAATTCATATATATTAATAAATACATTATAAGCCAATAAAAAAATGGAGTTAAGTTTCAGAGAAACAGTGCTGAATCAGAGGAAGTAGGATGTGAAACAGAGGAACGCGAAAGGCCTTGATTGTAAATTATTAATGGCATTTTTAGGATTGTTTTTTGTAGTTTGTATATTCTACAGTCCTGGAACCAGGACGAGAGCTTGTCTTTTTTTTTGTTCCAGGCTTTTTTAGAAAAATATCCGTTTAGATTTTTCCAGCAGCCCAACTTGGAAAACATGACTAGAAGTGGTCAGAAGTCTCAAATAACTCTAACTCTTTCATGTCGTTTTACAGGCAGGACAATCAATGAGGAGCAGAAAAAGAATGTAGAAGCTGAGACATGAGACAAGAGTGTCATGATGTAAAGATTACTCCAACTCCCAGCTAAAGGACAAAGTACGTTAACAAAGCGTGAGAAAAAAGCAGGTTAGTCACTTTATTAAGATTTGCTAAATGGTATGCGCAGTTTTCTTGAAGATGAATCCTGGTACATGTTGATAATTGTGGCTCTGCAGGTTTAGACATGTGTGGACACAGACTGTTGTGCAGGAATGTTCAAATAGAGTAGAGTGAATGGGAGGTAAGAAGTGAGAGCAAATCAGGAAGTTTGTTCATCAAGTAAATGTGACTGCATGTGACATCTGCGAGATTTAGGTGTTTGAACTCAGTAGGAGTTGCCTACTATTCTGTATCACCCTCTGCACTTTGTTGCCGTCACCAGAGAGCATTTAAGATCTTTGCTTAATGTATTGAGTTTTCTTGTTCATGAGTGTTCCACATTGTGTTACTCTTTAACTGCACGCTTTGATACCACTTTGCAAACTCTAATGCATGATAGCTATTCAAACAAAGGCGTCTCCTCTGGCCTTACTTACACAGAAAATACAGATTCGTTTTCCCATCATGCATCGGCACAAAGAGTAGGAAATGAGATACAGTAAGAGGCAAGCAGGAAGCCTAAGCAGGCTGTAATATATTAACATTACTCACCTGCAGTCAGTAGGTGCTGTCAGTCAGTGATGGACAAGGTTGACTTTATCCGGGTGAAACAGTGTTGCTGGTTGGAGGAGCTTCTGTTGTTGCTGCTTCAGTCCGCAAAGTTATGGCGTGTCGAGCAACAGGGGAGTTTCTGACAGAGAGAGAGAGAGAGAGAGAGAGAGAGAGAGAGAGAGAGAGAGAATGGGGAGGGAACTTGGATTGAAAAGCTGTGTGATGACGTGCACCGTGGAAATATCTCATACCTACTAAGAATTAGAGCCAGAAACACAGTGAATAAGAAAGATAAACTATATGCAGAAAACATATAAAGTAGCAAAAATATATAGTTATAAGCACAGAAATATAAAAGTAGAAGCTAGAGTGGTGCAGAAGCCTGCAGGCCTCGTTCATTATTTTACTTGCTGGTGTTAAATTGCAGGATGCTAGAAGTAGGTTCATGTATGAAATAATGTCTTTGGGTGCAGGCTGGGCTTTACATGAAATCTTTCAAAAAGCCTCAATCCACATTGATGAGGAAGTTTTATAGTGTTGAAGTTTTCTATCTTTGTCTTAAATTCTCATGCCAGTCCTGAAGTTTCATGGTGAGGGATAACATACAGTACCTGCATTGTGTGATATCCAAACCTGAGAATAGAGCATAGGACTGTTGACAGACAAATAGGGAGGATACTTCCTTCCTGGATTTTTAAACAGGAGTAAGATTAGGTGGAAGTGATTGTTGACACTTCCAGCTGACTGCATCAGTGTTTTATCTTACGAGCCAGTAAATTCATCACACAATCTTTTTTTTTTTTAAATCTGTCTCTCCAGAGGTTAACCCTTTAACAGATAATCAGTTTGAGGAGTCAAATAGTAAAATGTTTTCCCTCTTACACATTAAACAGGACGCAATCTCAAAGTACTTCCAGCCTTTGTACTTTATCGCCACGACCTTTAGGGACCAGCTGGTAAAGGTCAATCTGGTGTGCTCAATGGATGAGAAAGCAATAATTGAAATGGATTAAGGAGCTGCTTGATAATGTTGACAGACGAAGCAGAGCGAATGATGAGCATTCAGCTCTACTATGATTGAGCTCTGCTACCACCATGTGGTCATTGTGGGTACTGAACACCAGTGAAAAAGGAAGCTAGAAGGTCTACATACAAACAGTTACTCTATATATATTTATATCAATAAAATAATAAAGACCCAAATGGGAACTCCACCGATTTTATGTATCAAAGTCTGTTTACATATCTTGAATATCACTGCCTCAACTGAAAATGAAAAGAATCTGGGTGTGTGGCGTTAGAGATAAGTGAGCATACCAAACCTCTGTAACCTGCTCCTCATCTGTACTTAAGGTTAGCGAATGGAGGCTACATTAGCAGCTACTAGAATAACGTGCTCAAATCTCTGACTGAACTATCAGCGATCAAGTTGCATTGTGGGTAGGTGCCATGCCCTGAAAAGCAAGAAAACGCATGGAATAAAAAAGACGATTTCTTCTTAGATTTTGATAATTTTTTTTTACGTAATCGACAATGATATAAGAACACAATGCTAAATCAATGGAGTACTCTTTTAAACAAGTAATTGATTATCAAAAGGCTGCCAATGGACTTAGCAATTAAATACTCATTCCAGCCCAATCCGAATTTGTCCTTACAAATGTGTTAGGTGGAAACTTTATGTATATAAATAGATATCAATGACATGCGGGAGGATAATGACAGCCTGCATGTTTTGTGTTGTAAATAAGGGAGACACTTGCAGGAAATCATTGCAAATTCAACAATGAGAAGTGAAAATCAAAAGTTGAATTAAGAAATGTTAAACATGTTATAGAAACAAAAACACTCAGGAGAAGAATCAAAGATGGGTTTATTATATACATTAAAACACACCCGCTTTGGCAAGTTCCACACATTTAATGTATATACATTTAAAGTAAACATTATTCCACTTCAGACACAACCAAAACCGCTGTAACATGTTGACATGCATGCACACAAATCCTGATGAAATGTTTTGTACTCTGTATAATCGGCAGCCTCAGCTTCTCAAAACATGTTAAAGCTGTGGGAAGTGTGGCCTCAACTATTTCCACCTTCATCTCTGTGGCTGGCACCTCCCATCCTATCCAGAACTTTATGAGGCTCTTTAGCTCAGCTGGAGACGCTGTGTTGAAGAAGCAGCCGATCAGTCGACACAGACTCTGCTAAGACAGCTTCATGCAACAGTAGCTCAAAAGATGTCCCTGTAACAGTAGTCGTACATACCCTTTTCAATAAATGTTTTCAAGTAGCCAGATACTCTGCGTACATCCATGACATCGGACGCGTCGTCATCTTCAATTTTGTAGCTCTCAAAGATGACAGTTATACACGATGGCCATATGATGCAATCCAAGATCAGCTGAAATCACATGGAACTCCGGCTGTATCTAAAATAGTCTTTAATCCTTTTAGTATTTGAATTAGGTGCAGTTCAAAGTCCCGAGGGAATTCATTTTTGTGAAGGAAAATGAGAACAATAAATTGGACTACTTAGATGTGTCTGTGCTGCTCTACCTGAGGTGTGACTTGTGCTTCGGATTCCCTGGGAAACAGGATGGGGATTACATCTCTTCTGCGACTGAGAAGCGGCCACAGTCCCGTCTCTTTTAAGCCTTTTTGGAACTGATTGATTTGATGCCTCGTTCGCTCGATAACCTTCAAGATGGGAGACATGGCACATTGTACACGAACTCATTCATCGGTGAGTATTTTCTGACCTCACCGCAGTTGTAGATTTTGGTAAGCACTTACTAAACATCTGACGTAAAATGGACCTTATTTTACGATGCCAAAAAATGGCTTTTAAAAAATCTGAGACAAAACCGAGTGATGTTCCCTCTAACAGTTTAAAAACAAAAAGCCACTCAGGCCTCTGGGCTCAGATTATAGGAAGTTGAATTATTAAGATTTATTGTTGGACTTTGTTGCCGATGCAGAGGGACATCTGATGGTTTTGGCAAAAGATTCATCTCAGATTTTGCTTGAGTTGACAAGTACACCGATTCTAGTAGATGTCAACTCTGCATCTTGGTAACAACACAGCATTTACAACTAATTGCTGGAATGGCAGGCAGCAAAGAAAGTGTCTTTCTGAGCCATTGTCGAAATAGTTTGAGAGAGATGTTTCTGTAAATAAACATGTAAAAAGATAAGGATGTGGGAAACACACTTTGGAATACTTTTTAAGGACATAGGGAAATCATACTGTCTTCAGTTTAATCTCTTTAGTGTGTTCAGCAGTAGCGTGGAGAAAATGAGTTGAGAAACTGAAGTAGAGTAAATAAAACACATGACATTACAGCATGCAAGAGAAGCTGTTCAGACAGCAATTTCCTGTTGGTGGCATTTGGTGCTGGCAGTCCATAGGACAGGCAGAGCTGATGCATGGCGTCAAATTCTTTTAATTCATCGTCTCCATCAAGCTGGAATAAAACATAATGAAAATCATGTTTTATTCATGCAGCATTCATAGAATGAATAACGTTGATTGTAGTTTTATGAGGCTGAGTTTAATGCGTTAAGTGACAAATAGAGAGGGTGTTTAGGGAGAACATATAATATATATATTTTATGTTATGTGTTGACGTTAGTTAAACTCAATGCTCACCATTGTCACAGTGTCTCGGACGTCGAAGTCAGGGCAGTCTCGTATAGTCACAGGAGCAGTCTCCATCGAACCTCCAAAGAGAATGTGAATAATGGCTGGGCTGAGTCCTGAGACACTCGGGCCGCGATGCAAGAAGGAATGGCCAATCATCCGGCCCGCGACTGTAAACATGTTGTTTTCAAGCAGTTCATCTGAAACTGAGGGGATGAGGTGATCAGGCTCACCTTCAAAGACTTTGGTGATGGCCGCACTTCCTGCAACAGTGAAAGATTGAGGATGAAGAGAATATTTAGAACACAAGTTTAATGACTCAAAATAAATGTAATCAGAGAATGAGGAAAAATCCCGTTTGTGTAGAGTACAATCAGTCGATTTTGATACTTTGATATTTTGATCCTCAGACTTTTTTTTAGACCTGTAGCTCACCTTTCCTGAAATTTGATAAACAGTCAGTGATTATTATACATTTCACATAAATGGTCTGTTAATCATCTGTTCTGTCAATTATTTGATTACTTTATCAATATTTAGATTTTTTTTCATTGTTTTTTGATAGAACAATAGAGATTAGTTTTCTTGTTCTTTAGATTATCCAGATTTTCCAGATAAAATGAAATAATGGAATGACTGGATGCATCTCAGAGCTCAATAAGGCTTGCCTGTTTGCCCGGGGCAAGTCAAATGTCACGTCGGGCTAGTAAATCTAGCAACTTGTTGGCCCAATTGGGCAAGTGGAAAAAAAAGATTAAAACACCTTGTTGTTTTTTCCCGGAGCTGATGATGAAAGTAGCTAAGGAGTGAACCATCTTGCTTCCTTCTCATCTCTGAACACGACAAAGTTGATGAGCTGAAGCTCAAGCCAGTATTTAAATTATCCTGGAAACAAAAGTTTTTATTACTTGTATTTAGTGATCTGTAGGCATGTAACTTCTGAATGTCGTCAGAATCAGCATTGTTGTTGTATGAGTATGTTGTAGTGTCTAACCTAAGTTTATATGGAATCCACTCATAAGTTTCAACATCACTGTCGACATCATGTGACGGTCGACCCCACTTCCTGTTGCAACGTCGCCTGTGTGGAAACATTTTTTACTTTTTATCTCTTAATTGAGCAATAAGGAGTTTGTTTGTTTTTCTAGTGAAAGTAGTCCTGATTAATTTGCCAGTTACTACCTTGAAGTTTCCACCGGACGTCGTCTGTCTTGTAGAATGTGACTAAAGTTCGGTCTTGCTCCTCCTTGTCTTGTCTGACGTCCACACTAAGAAATAGGCTGTTTGAATCTCTGTTGCTGTGAAGAAGGTCTTGTGAAAATAGCCAACCAGCTTCTTTTGGATCTGACACTGTTATCCATTCTGAGACAGCAGCAAAAAGAGCAGAGTATGAAAATATAATATTAACTATTTGGAATGTACGGTGTCCACAAATGAAGCTTTAAGGGACTATAATGACCATATATAAATCCTTGAAAAAAAGATTACATTGTAGAAACTTGTACCTGTGCTACTGGATGTAACTTCTTCTGTTTCTTCCATTTCTAGGTACTGACCCGATCATAATGGGCACTCGGTTCCAACAATCTGAGAGAAAAGGATTGATAGTAAGGTATAAGGTAAATGCCAAATGCTGTTGACGGATCCACTGTGCATCAGGTCAGTGTAACAGTGAGCTCACGACTAGAGGATGTAAATTACAGCCTTTTGTGTTTAAGCAAGCCTTCACTTGAAACATGTCAAATATCACGGCTGCTGATTCGGAGGTATGCAGCTTTTCTTACAAGTGACCCTCAGGCAGGAGGGAAGAGAGAGTCATGTTTACTGCTCCTCAAACTCCAACCTACTTCTGACCATTAGCTTGAACATTTGCTTTTCTATCTACAGTAAATTGCTTTTGAGTATTTCATTTAGTCATAGGGATTGTCTACATTGTAATTTGAATATGTTGGTCTATTATGTGCACAACATCTGCTGCATGTCTGTCCATCCTGGGAGAGGCTGCTCTTCCCGAGGTTACATGGGTTTGTTTTTCCGTATTCGAAGCAAGGGTGTCATATGCTGTGCAGATTGTAGAGCACCCTGAGGCAAATTTGTGATATTATGTTATATAAATAAACTTGACTCGATTTGACTTTTTAAGTTTTTCAATGGATGAATTTACACTGCGTTGATTATACATCAAACATATTGTTTCCCTTATAATTCAAAACTTTTAAAAATGAATTCTTTCAATTCATAAAAGTTGTAAAATCTAGTCTTAAGTGTATATCCATCGAGTTGAAACATGCATGGATTAGGACCTTGTACAATATCGTTTTTTAACAGGTTTAACAGGACAAATGAGGTTGCAGCTGTGCTTACCTGTGAAGGTCTGTGACAGTGTCTTCTCTGTTTCTTGTGTTTGCTGTCAATGCGGTCATTGGGGCTGTGTGGGAGTTCCAACTGCTAGTAGTCTAAGCTGGTTTAATTTGTCTGTACAGGTATTGCAAACTGTAAAGAGTGTAGCTTAGTTTACGGCAGCTGCGTTTTTTAAAGGGCAACCTTTTAAAGGGGACAGTCAACAGACTCTGCTGGCATTACGGGTCACATGGTCAAATGGTTGAAATCTAAATTACAATATGAATTAGCAAATTACATTATTTTATACAAATAACAGACATAGTAAATGTGCAATTTTGGTGTTTTACCACAGTCCACAATTTAGATGAATATTAGTAAATGCATACTGTTATAATGAGGAATGGCAGCTTTATTTATAGCACATTTCAATCAGAGTCAATTCAAAGTGCTTTACGTAGTCGGAGTAAAGCACTAGAATTGCACTTAAAATCAATAAACAATAAAAAACAGAATAAAATCAATTTAGGTAAAATAAAATTGTTTTTTAAAAATTAGATAAAATAAAATACACAAAATGAAATAACATACAAATTGAATAGATCAGAAATTCAGTTGCAGTGCAGTTACTGTCCAGTATTACGTTGTAAGTTGCCCCAAATGCAAAAAAGAAAATGACAGTGCCTTAGAGAACAGCAGAGTTTTTAATTTCGATTTGAAAGTGGCTAAGATTTGGGTGCATTTGAGAAAAAGTTGGTTCCATCTGTGTTAAGCATATAGCATTTGTTCTGACTCACGCTTTTACCAGTTGACCCTACTGGGTTTATAATCTTCTCGGAGATCAGAGATGTATTTCTGCTCAAGAATATTGAGTGATTAATGAACTAGCAGCAACAAGATTGATTCCTTAAGTAACTTAGTGTAAAAGATGTAATAACAGCAGTAATGTGCTCCGTTCTCTTGGTTCTCGTTAGAACCTTGGCAGCAGCATCCTGAATGAGCTAACATTGTCTAACTGTCTTTTCAGGAAGACCGGACAAGACACCGCTATTAACATCCTCCCTGATGAAAATGAAGGCGCTATTTGTTTTATATGATAAAATGATGATTTAGTTATTGCCTTGAGGCGACTGCTGAAGCTCAAATATTGAAAAACAATTAACTAGCATCAAGATGACCGGTAACATTCATTCTTTCCTACTTGTTGGCAAATGAAATGATCTCCGTCTTGTTTTTATTTAATTGAAAGAACTTCAAACACATTGATAGAGTGAGTCTAAGAGACCATAAACTTAGTAAAGCCATGCTAGTGGCTGTACGTATGTGAGGATGTACTAGTGTACAGCGTGTGGTGTCTCTTTTCGTTTTATGACAAGTATTTTGTCAGATATCAAGTATTGGAAAAATTGAGTAATGAAAGTGTGCACTGTGAAGACCCTGCATGAGAATGACGTGTTAGTATCACTCAGCTAAATCAAATGCAATGTAATTAACATAATAATAATAAAGCCCCCCCTCCCTCCCCCGCAATCCTGCAAGCGATTCAGATGATGGCTGGATGGATGATAAATGTTATTTCTAGTAGTACCTGTAGATCTGTCTCTATTGGCTAAATAGACTGTGTTAACAGTGCAGTCACATGAGGTACAGTGACACACAGAGACAAACTCAGGATGTTGATGAACTTGGTGGATTGAGCCCTGTGGTGATAAGATACAAACTTTCACAGGGAACAGGGAACTTCCTCTGCGCTACATTAACCTGTTATGTTGTTCTGATTGTTTTTGTCTCAGTGCTTCTTCTCTCTTCTGTGTTCTTCCTTTACTTTACACCTCATCTCATTGAAACTACACATCTGAGGCCTCATGTTCCAGACAGTCAACATGTTAGAGTAGCCCCCCTCCATGCCTCCATCCCTCCAGATGCCCCTCGGGGTGACAGTGACACAAGTATCCCATTGTCACAACAGCGTCTCTCAGGGGGAGGACATGCTTTGGAGGACATCAGTAGATTAGCTATGACATTAACCCCCCTCTGCATAACACACACACACACACACACATACACACACACACACACACACACATACACACACACACACACACACACACACACACACTCTCCACAGACGCTTGCACACTCCTACCCATAATCCCTCTGTTTTCAAGTCACTTCCTGTTTCATGAGCCACTGAGACAAAGCAACAGATCATGTGAGTGTTTTTTCTGCTTGTAGGTGACTTTGGAGTGAGTTTCACACATTTGAATTCCCTGTAGGGAGCTGAAAAAAACAGAAGAGCAGCCTTGACATTAATGTGAGTATTTCAAGATGAGCACTTAAGTGATTATGGTCTACAGCATGAAGGGTACAGTACTGTGTGTGATATGTGCATGAGTGTAGAGAAAAGAGGGAGGGGGGAGTTTATGTGTACAGTGTGCATGTGTTCAGTATGTGTGGGGGAGGTGCTGTGCTTGTTGGGCAATGTCCTAATAGCATTTTTTCAATGTATCATGCTTGGTTGGTCAGTTGATGTATTTATTTGCATACTGCAGTTTAACAGGACACATTTTCCTTTATTTATGTATCTCTTCAGCATAGACTTGCAGACCATGTCAAGTGGCAGCACAGTGTTAGCACAGCCAGTCAATGCCTAATCAATATGTGATCAGCGAGAGAGCTCTCAGGCTGTACTTAACTGCAAGATCAAGACCGCGAAGACCGTAAAGACCCTTACAGACCGTTCAGTCTAATGATTGATTGAACACACGCCGTTAGAGAAAAATATGCTGCTGAATGTACACTGTAAAAACGGGAGAATCGCAGACATATTTTATGGGTCTGATCCTATTGTGTGTCACGATCTTCATTAAATATTCAGCACAGTCCGGCATGTCACTGTGTCGAACTGTAAGCCAGCACAGCAGAAATATGAGAAGAGAGAATAGAGCGAGAAATGCAAAGAGAGTAAGATACAGACTGAGATACAGAGAAAGACAGAAAGAGCCCGGAGAGAGAACGGGGATCGAAAAGCAAGCAAGAAATCTTAGAGTAAGCAGGCGCTTTTCTATTTAACTCAAAACAAACACATTGTGATGAGACACAGGGAATGTGTAATCCAGTAGTCAAAATAGCAATTAATAACATCTTTTCAAGTGCTTACTATGATCGACGCTGTTTCACACCTCCATCTCTGAGTCACCCTGGTGTTGCACAGTGTGTCTCACTGCTGTTACAACAGTTTCCTCTTTTTGTAAACCAGATCAGATGTTTCAAGTGGACTGGCTACATTTGATGAGATTTTTACAGACAGATTTATGAGTAGGGATAGACAGAAGCTAAATTCAAGGGCAGGTCTGGTGGACGTATGTCATTCCTCTTTATTTGTCAGCTGGGAAAAGACACCAATAGAGGGTTTACTCTGCACATGTTGATCATGTTTCCAGCCTCTCTCCTCTTGACTCTCTTTCTCATTCACTGTCTTCCTTCTTTCATTAGAGGTGTGGGCCAATTCAGAGGAGTGTTGGATGGTCTGTGCAGACACAGATATAGACTCAGATGTATGTTGGTGATTCTGTGGGTTTATGCACATTTTCATTAGTCATCAGCAGATCTATCATCAGAATGCCGTGTTTCTTTTACTGTCTTATTTCACCCGGCTTCCCCCTGACCACCAAATAGACTTTAAAAGCACGATGATGAGTTTCAGCTTTTCACAGTTGTGGCTACATCTGCTTAATTACCATGTCTTATTACTCACACTATACAGACACACCCCCTTCTCACGCACACAAACCACACTCATCCAGCTAATGGACCAGCCTGTCTCTGCTTTTGCTGGGCTTATATTTCACCTCGGAGAGGGAGGGAGCTCAGCCAACAGGTCCATTACGGAGAGAGCGAGCAAGAGAGCGATAGGGATTGTGATGAGGGGAGGAAAAAATAAAGAGAGGGGCGGGGATACGGCTGCAGGCGTACTGCGGCAGCAGCAGAGCGGCATGACGTGATAGAGGGGTGAAATGATAGACAGAGGGACACACACACAAATGCACATGCTCGCAGCTCAGAAGTCCGCCAGGCAAAAGTAGACAGAAGCAAAGGTGGGGACTCAGCAGCATACAGATTGGAGACAAACTCACTTGCTGCTTTCTATCCCGATGCTTGCAGAGGGTGAGTGTAGCCTTGGATCATATTTTGGATTTATGTTCATGCATTTGTCAATGTGACCGTGTATCTCTCCTTGATGGTTTGTGTGAATCTTATTTGTATTAACTTAACTGCGAATGGCAGTTTCTGTGAGCAGATAAATACAAACACTAAAGGGTGATGATGTTCACAATCAGCAGTGTAGCAGCGAGATGGTGGTAGAGTGGGAGAGAGAGGTTAAAAGAAAGAAAGGCAGAGCTTAAGTGGGATGAAAAGAGGGGGAGAAGGGATGATATGGGGGGGGGGGTATTCCATAGCCAGGGGTGACGTGATGTGATCTGCCTGAGTCAGCGTTTATATAGGCTGGATGACTCAGTGCAGCATGCATAGCATACATAATATGCTGTGTGTCCAATACCTGTGGAGAGTGTTGGATAATGTGAAGAGTTGTAGTACTGAATCAGAATGGAGGGAAACTGTGCACACATGTTGATGTTTATGTGGTTAGTAGTCTGATTAGGCTCTCTCCTGTTTAGTTTTGTGTGGGTGCTTGTGTTTGTCTGCCTATGCTTCTATAATGAGTGCAACTGGAGTGGACGTGTGGAGTGCTAGACATGCTTCATTTTTCCAGTTTTGCGATTAATTCACATTCTCTGTAGAAACCCCTAAACTGATGACTTTTCCATGTGGTTGTACCAGGCTGTGTTGAAAATCTCACAACCCGAGTTTTACTTCAGTTAACTAGTTATCCTCTGTGAAAGAAACCCCTTGCATAACCACTTGAAATCATGATACATTGTGATGAAGTCAACACCAAAACAAATCAACTACCGTATCTTCCTGTGCAGTTGACAAACTGGACATACAAGGTTTTTAGACGATTTAAATGCTATCATATGCTGTGCCATTTTTGAGGACGACAGAACATGTGTCATTGCAGGTCACTAGTGTAGGCCAAGTACATTTCCATTTGGGTTACTGACTCATGCTAACATAAACAGTCTTCAGTTCATTGTTCAAACTGAGATTTTTTTAATGTCTGTGAAATGACGTTTTTCCGCCAAAAAATGGGAGCACTGATTTCATCGAAGAAAGTGACTTTGAAAATGACTCGGTGCGGGGCCCTCTGATTCGCTGAAAATGTCGTTCCTCTTTGTCACAGCTTCCTGTCTCGGTGAATGGAGAGGCACTGTGGACCAATGGGAGGGCAGTGGTGAGGATGCAACAGTGAGCCAGGAAAAAACAGCCCATTGTTCGTGGGACTACACAGAAGTGTGACCACTCTCCTGCAGGCTCTGGCTGCTCGGCCTATCGGCACACTGACGGACCCGGGACACCATTGAGAGGTAAGACACTGGAGAGACAGCAGATCTGGCACATGACATTTCACAAAAAGCCTTTTATGAGCTTCAGAAGTTATTCTGGTGTGTCTTCTAAGAAAACAGTGCTTTTACAGGAATCCTAACAGCACATTGGAGCGTTTTTGCACCACCGTGTGTCACTAGCATATTGTAAGAGGATTTATGACAGCACATTATCGCTGTTGTTTTGGTTGTTGTCATAATGGAGGTAATTACATTCATTTATATCCACACTGGGTGACACACACAGACACACAGGCACTGCTAATGTGCTTCAGTTCACAGACAGAGAGGCCAGTGTTACCACCTCATTTATTGATTTTGGTGATGAGTCAGAGGATTTTCATCGCTAGCGTGAGGGTGCGTATTTGTGTGAGAGAGAAGATATGCATGTTTCTTTGAACAGAGGTACAGTAACGGAATTCAGGCTGAGTTTGTCATGGGACAGCGTGGCTAAAATGATGTAATAAGATTATGAAGTTAAAAGCTAACATCTAATGCCGGCTGCCACGCTATCCTTCTTGTTTTTCTACTTGCAGAACGTATATACCTGATCTGCTGTCTTTCATTGTTGATGTGAAAAGAGTTTTTAATCAGCACATGTACTGCAGTTCTCCTCCTGAATATGTGGAGATAGATAGACAATTTGAAGTTTAGTGAAAGAAGAGTCCCTGCTGCTGTTGCACACAGTGTCCAGCAGGTGTCAGTACCATCCTAGCAGAATCATTTTGGACTAGTCAAATTCTCTGTATTCTTTATGCTTGACCAATGATCATTAAATTCACTTGCAACAAAAATACTAAAATCACCATGTTTTCGTTACCATGTTTTTGCCATTATACAAAAGTCATTATCTTCTCCAACACTCCAACACACTTGTATACAAATACGATTTATTTTATTTTTCAATTGTTGGTCATTGGTGCTATATACACAAAACAATGTCCACATACTTGTGTACTTTTGTACACATTAGTCCTGTCTATTCTTCACATTTATTTGTCCAGCTTTGTTGTCCTTGTACCTAGCTGTTATGTATATTTTTAAGAGATGTATTGTATGTGTACACAAACTTGGCGATTCTGATCCTGAAGCGCAATTACTTTTTATGTTGTTCTACTTAAATACCTATTAAATATTAGGAGTGTTGTCTGGATGTCACAGAAACACTAATGTATAATTAGCCAAGAGACATGCATCTATTGTATTAAGTAAAGAGCTACTGCAAATTGATTATCGGCTTTATTAATTGAAAACAATTAGCTAAATTGATTAATCATTTAACCCATTTATCAAGCGAAACATGCCAGGCAGTCTCGGCTTTCAGTCACTTAAAATCGTGCTTTTCTCTTATATGACTGTAGATTTAATATCTTTGTTTTGTTCTTCGTTTAAGTACCTTTAAGTCCTTTGGGCTCAGGGAAATCTTTCACTAGTTCATGATGTTTTATGGACTACCCGATTAGTCATTTAATCAAAAAAAGAATTGGCAGATTAATTAACACCATTGTTAGTGGCAGCCCTAACCAGCAACCTATTTTTCCTCACATTTCTGCCGTAGGACCGGCCAAAACCAAACCACATATGTTTGTTCTTCCTGTAGATTTCTACAAAGTGTATTAAACCAGGAATTTCAATAGTTCTATGTTTTGGTTGCCAGAAAAGTCACAAGCAGTTTGACCTACTTTGAAAGTGTTAACAAACCAACAATCTAACTATTGTGAATGCACTTATATAAGAGAGTGATGTTATTTTTGACTCCTGTATATAGTCTGAACACATGACACAGAGAACATACCCTGCACATGTAACAAGCTTATGCTGTAAAACATTCCCTTAAGTGTGAGGGAATCAGACCTCAAATTGATTAGCCAGTTTTTTAACCCGCTTACCGCTGCTTTTAGTCAGCAGAAATATCTTTTTGTCTCTTTCTGTGGATATACACACAGACATCCTCACCACCAGCTGAGCCTCGGTATGTCCTTACGTGGGCTGCAGTAGTACTGGTATGACCCCCACTGTATCCCCCAGAGACTAGCCAATTTCCATACAGATAGACACAGAGCCAGACCGCACCTGTGCCCCTGGAATTCCGAGCAGGAATTGTATCAGACAGACAGAAATTCTGATGCTTTTAGTGACTTGGCCTCCCAGGAGAAAGAGCGAGAGAAACATAGATGGGTGGGAAAGAGGAGGAAGAGGAATTTATGGAGAGAAATAAGGTGGAAGCAGGATGGATGATCATATCTGTCTCTATATACCTACTGCTGCATCACTGCTTCCGTATGCTGCTGTGCAGGTCTATAGCACTGAGTCAACTATGATAGAGCACGAGTCCTTCGCAAAATACCCAAATCTCCATTTTCTGTGTCAGTATGTCTAATATTATAAGTAGATACGGAGATACTAACCTTTTCTTTATTAGAAACAATGTTGTTTTCGTTTCATGTTTTTGAGCTGAAGCAGTCAACCTCTTTCTGCTGTGGGGATTCTTAAAATGACAGAGCTTTTGCTCAGACTGCTGGGAAATTGTGTGTGTGTGTGTGTTTGTTTGTGTTAGCCACGTTACACTGTGAGCAATACTGCGATTAGATGCGCTGTCAAATAATCCAACATTTTATCCTTGTGACTTTGACGGCTTACTTTGACACATCTCTGATTTACTAAAGACAGCTTCCCAAGACGTCTTCTGGCAACACAATTTCTGCTTTTTAAGAAAGGGGCAAGTAGGGTTTAGTGTTAAATCTGTGTATTTGTAAGTGCATGTATAATTATGATAAATCTTCTTGTACTGCACTGTTCCAAAGCAAAAATGCTGTATACAGTATGTGTTTATGTCTGTGTTAAATGTGAGTTCAGCTGTTGACCCAATGCGGTACATCTGGTCAGCAACAGCAACATGATTTGTTTACGATGTTAGTGAGACAGTCATTAAATATGTGTATATGTACACACCCACTATTGGGCAATAATTCACTATTGTCACAATTGCAATTTTTTATTACGCGTATTTATGTCTTATTTAACAGATTTGAAAAACTACACTTAATGACACACTTAATAACAGCTAATCACATAAAATGTGATAGATATAAAGTGAGGACAAATACAAAAAAATCTTTTGTTAAAATATCGTTTGACCAAAGACTGTCATGTGAGATTCTGACAATTTGTGAGGGATATCAAATCAATGTATCTGTTCCTCTCAGATGCTGTGATCCTTCTCGTTCTACACATGCTGCTTCCTCCCTTTTCCCCTCCCACCCTGCCTACCTTCCCACCACACAGCCTCCCGTCCTCTGTCCCTCCAGTAGAGCAGCATGAGGTAGTTAGATTATACAACATTACATGAAATGTTTCACTTGACCAGCATTCGTTGCAGTTTGTGTCGAACAGAAGGGCACAAAGAATATCAAGCTCACTTTTAGAGTTTTTGGGTGTTTTTTTGAGAGGGTAACAGAAACCGGAATACAAATCAGGTGAGAACGATCTCATACCTCATCTTTATATGTAAGAGAGCAGTAAGCCTGGCCAATGATGTGTGTCAGTGGGAGTCTGTGTGAGAGTGTTTTTAAATTCATTATGTGGAGAAAATCAGTTATTTGAGGACATAACTCTGCTGGTAGATGTTGCTGTGAGCATGTGCCTCCGCGTGAAGTTTTTTTTGTTTTTTGAACTCCCAGCAGGCAAATCTGATTGTGCAGACACTCCATGCCTTGCTAAAAATAAGCTCAACTCGTGGTTTACCATGACTTATTTTGTCCATATGTGCTTGATTCACATGCTCACATACCATGGATGTTTAACTATCTCTGTATTGAGAACAGGAAATTCTAGTTAACGTGATTGGATTAAACTTTAGATTCGATTGTAACACAGTGTAATGTACCTTCTTAATGGATAAACAAAGTTTTTGGGAGGTCTTTCAATGATGGCTAGTCTACATACTGTTACTATGAATTTAACATGAGTGTTCAACATGTTGGCTCATTATAGGTGTCTCTCTCCCCGTGTTTCTCCTTTAAGGTCAGTATGAGTGGGGGAGTCAATGTGAAATCGGCCCCCCGGGCTCCTCTCTCATCAGGAATCCCCCTCCCACACAGCCTGTTGCCCTCCTCCCCCAAAACAGACACCCGCCGCCGGGCTAGTGACCTGCCCAGGCCGTCAACACAGACCCCTAAACACACACCCACACACAGTCCCACACACACGCCCATGCAATCTCCTTTACTTTGCCCACGGAGCTCTAGGATGCTGGAGCTCCGTGGGCAAAGTAAGGACCCGAAGAGAGACGCAGGCCTGAAGAGTCAGCTCTTCCAGCGGATGGGAGCTCTACCTGCTCCCCAGGTGTCACGCTCTGCCTACAGCAGCCCCTTAACCGAGCGCAGGGTACTGCAGCCACACTCCAAAGACACACTGGATCTGGGAAAGCCCTCCCCGTCTCACATCCCCGCACAGTTGTCACATGACGGCAATCGCAACAGGAACACCCTCACCAATAAGAACCAAACATGGGGGACTAGCAACCTGCGTCCACCGCTTCAGTTCAGAAGAAGAGACAACTCCAGAACTGGATCCCAGGCAACGAGTGAGCTCATGACACAAAGAGAGAAAGAGCCTCCAGAACACCACCCTGCCCAGTCCCCCATGTCAAACAATGGTTACCTCCATCCCTCCCTTGCCCAAATGAGCTACGAGCACGCCATCAGAGGTCGCAGTGACTCCACTAGCCAATCAGACGAGGAGATGGGCTCTCCTGAAGACAGCAGTCCAGCCTCCTCTCCTTGTCCCCTGCCGCTGCCACCGATCACATTCACCACGCCAATAATGTCCAAGGTGGCTGTCCATACGTTGGCTCAAAGCCTAGATAAGGAGGCTGCGTCCACAGAGACACACGCACCCAGAGTCAACATGGCTACTGTGGCTCCCTTCAGCTACCGGTAAGTAGTGCACACTCACACACAATGGATACAACAGTTTATCAAGACCTCCATCACAAGCCCCCAATTACTGATATCCATTGTAAAACCATTCTCTTGTCATTATCACATGATCACTCTGTCTCCACATAGCACTTTATGACCCCTCTCTCTCCTGATACTCTCACGTTTGTCTGAGTGTGTGTGTGTACGTGTGCACACATACACACACACACTCACACACACACACACACACACACACACACACACACACACACACACACACACACAGACATTTATACACACTCTTGGGGTTTTCTGGAGCAGAGCTGATTGTTAAAGTGTCCTCTTGACAGCCTCTGGGCTGACTCAATATACCGTCCTCTGACACACTTTTTTTATGATGTGGGATGAAAACAAAAAAAGAGTGAATCTAATTTTGTAAGTTAAAAAAGTGCAATGTTACTGTGTCTTATGTGTGTTCTTGAGTGTGGTGTTTTAGTTAAATGATTCAATCCACGAAGAATCAATCAATCAAAGCAGAAATGTATTTTTAATTATTGCATAGCGTACAATACTTTATAAGATAAAGAAGTAGAAATTTAAATCAAGGCAAGATCATAAAATCTTGAGCTTCTTTTTACTTTGATAATGATGAAATTATTGCCAGTCCTTTGTGCATTATCTGAGATTTTCTGTTTCTATAATTTGCATGGAGGAAATCAATGTGACACACCAGGGAAGGCCATCAATTTCCTTCTCCTGCCATACACAGTTGCTTATGCGTTTGATTGTAATCATCGATGTTAACATCAGTGATTTGCATGTACAGTAACAGACGTTTGACGGCTGTGTTCATGATGTGTTAACAGGCTGCATGCGCAGGAGAGCGATTTTTCAGTGGATGGACTGAGTGACTGCTCATCTGGATCCATAGAAGTCTGCTGTGATGACCTAACACTAGGTTAGACACACACACACACACACACACACACACACACAGTAAAACATTGATAAGAGTATACTTGCACGTTTTTTAAGAATCAAAACACATTACTTTTCCTTTGTCTCTTACTCTTTTGCTGAACAAAACTCGCAGTCTAGTTCTGTCTGCCTAGTTGGCGTCAGGGCGCCAAGAGGCCGAGAGCCCTTTTGGCAGGTATGGATGCCTACGTTCTGGCAGCCAGGCGCAATTACTGCACCAAAGTCAGGCGGGAGATGCCAGCGGCCGACCTTTGGGTCTCATTGTGGAACGTGAAAAGACTCATTGAAGACTAAGGAACAACCATTCTCTGTCTAAATCTATCCGTCACTCCCCTGCTCATCAGGCCTTAGGAACCAAGTCAGGTGGTGTAACTTTGTGTGTGTCTCAGCCTGGAGCTCTGCTGACTTCAGTGGTTCCTACTCGTGATGAAGATATGGAAAAGAGAGATGGACTCAGGATGGTAGAATGAAGGAAGATGACAGGGGGGATGTGGGTCAGTAATTGGATGAAATGGGGCACTTCTCAACTCGCTGCCAGAGTATTATTTTATGCACATCCTTTTCGGCTACATCCATGAGCTGTTGGGGATTTTGAACCCTTCCTCACACTTTCTCTCCATCCCTCTCTCTTGTAGTTCTTCCTTTCCAGCTTCATTGACCTAAAAAGCCACAGTCCCAGCATGACCCCCTCCCCATCCTTTTGAGTAATGGTTTGCACTGTACCCACAGCTATAGTCATGCTTTGTAGTGGTCAGTGTGAGTCGAGGGATTTGGACGTGCTTCGTGAGATATGACTTAATCAGTGGCTTAGTGAATCATTCTTTGTGATGTGGTGTCAGTTGGATAGGAGGGGATTGACTGCCTGGCTTTGAAATGTGCTGTCCAGAGTTAGTGTGTGTATTCAACTTTAATGGCCAAAATCTCTCCTAGTTTATACACATCTGACAGAATATGTGCAGTTTTCCAATGTTTAGCATTAATCCGGCACATTGTTTCAAAGTGTTTTCTGAAGGCTGCCTCTGGCTGATCCCTGCCTGTCAGTCAGCTTTTGGTTGTCAGCTGATTGCTAGTGAAATATGATAAAAAATAATATGAGAACAATGAATTACTAATCTGAGGTCTCAAATATCTCAGTAATAACATTCCCAGTTTTCAGTTTTTGGAATAATTTACGATGCCAACAGCACCAACAGTAAAAACTAATGTCACCTGTTTTGCCCAAAGACCTTTAGTGTAAGGAAGTCAGCCTGGACAGAAAGAAGGAAGAGGAAATGCAGTGAGAGAGAATTTTGATACGGAAATCAGATAATCAGTTAAATTGATCAAATGTGAAGTTACAGGGTCAGTCAGTGTTTATAATTTGGCGGGCATCTTGCGGTGAGGTTGCAAATTGCAACCAACTAAAACTTCACCCGTGTATCAAGCGTGTAGGACTACGGTGGCGGACACGAAAACGCGAAGGCCCTATCTGAAGCCAGTGTTTGGTTCGTGTATTGGCGTCCGACTATGTGCTCTATGATTACATATAAAGGGCTCATTTTAAGATAACAAAAACACAAAGTTCTTATTTTCAGGTGATTATACTGTTTAGACAACATACCGGTACTTATTAATATTATGTTACATTTCTACCAATAGATGCCCCTAAATGCTACACGCTGTTCCTTTAAGAACAGATGGAGAACATTGTAACACTTTCTCTTTACATCCCCGATGGCCAGCAGTGGACCTCCGGTAAAACATTTACACGGTCTACGGCCCTGGCCAGTACAATGAAAATTTGTCCATGTCCTAGAATGTCAGATTTTTACTGTACATAGAAAGCGTATTCAGACATCATATTATATTAAATTATGTCCAAAACAGTCTAATGTATTACAGTAAATTATCTAAAAGTGTAGCCACCAGAATAAAGCTTTTGAAAGCTTTTTGAAGGTTTTAACCAGCTGGTTGTGGAAAGGAGGGATGGACCAGCCCCTGTCTTTAAAGGCCTGTGGCTGTCTTGGGAACTATGTTTGCTGCCTTGTAATTGGTCCCTAGAAGGCGTTAGAAACAGAACTAAAGTGTCTTAGGCTCCTCTGAAGCTGCATTTACATGGAGGGTGGGCTGACACCGTAATGACTGTAATTTAGGGAGCAAAGGAAAGGAGGGGAACAGGGAGGAAGGCAAAGTTTGGAGGGAAGGAAAAGAGAGAGTGAGAGGGGTGAGAGATGAAAAGAGGAGACCTGATAAGGTCAGTGGGTTGATGGATTTCCTTTTGTGTAAGGAGGAAAGAGAACAGAACACAAATGTGTGCACAGTGTTAAAAAAGATAGATTGTATGTAGGCTGAATATTGTAAGGCTGCGAGCTCTGGTTGAACACACAATTCAAGGACAAATCATGATGTGATTTGGTTATGGTTGTCTTTTGTGACGATGGTAAAAGAGTAGCTTTCCACAAATTGAATTTTTTCCATATTACATTCACTTAGGTTGAATCAGCTGTAACATAATCAGCTCTTAGATCTTCTAGTGGAGCCCCTAATGAAGACCTGAACATTTAATGGGACTGTAGCACCATGTGGTCTTTCAATTAGACTGCAGACCTCCTGACCATGGGACTCTCTGGAGAGATGTATTTGAGCATGCGTTCATGTCTGAGCATGTGTGTGTGTATGTGTGCTGATGTATGCGTGTGTGACAGTACACAGATGGTGTTTGAAAGATAAATGTGATGTGTGGACTGTGTATCATTTTTCATGTCCCAGTGAGGGTATGGCCTGATGTTCCCTGCGGACACTCTTAAAGTCCGTCAGCTGTGTCTCTCTCTCTCACACACACACACACACACACACACACACTGTTCAGACACAAAGAGGAGGTCATGTGTACATCTGGATATGGATAAACACTGCACAGCATCCCACACCCACTCTCATATGACAATGACATTTACAGGTAGAAAACAAAAAGAATTGTACTTTCCAGGTGTGGGATTGGCATTTTATTTGAAATAAATGTATTCCCTTGAAACCGGCACAAGATCTGGAGCAGAGATTTCAATGATACTTCTCAAGGTGATCCAAAAATGATATTCAGTGGCCATTAGCCAACCGTGCACTGTGTTACACTGAATTTAATAATGCCCCAGCTCCCTTAATGTATTCGTAAATAAAATACACTCCGTTGCCAGTTTATTATGTACACTTAGCTAAAACTGGACTGCAGTCAAATACAAAAGTCTTGCAAAAAATCCTCCTTTTATTTAGCTTATGTATTCATGTTTTTAAAAAAGAGGTGTTGATCCAACTTTATTGTCAGTTTGCATAGGTGGATCGTCGGTGGAGGCTAGCTTTAAGCCTTAATATAATTTAAATGGGTGAGTTTTAGAACAATTCCCACTACGTACATTTGTCATGAACGGGGATATTGGCTATAGAGACCAAAACCGTTTTTTGTACCAGGCTGTAAACATGTTTGTTTCTCTCTAAAGTTGGGGTAAATACATGGGGGTCTGTGGGGATTGACTCGCTTTTGGTGCCAGCCTCAAGTAGCTTTTCATAGAACTGCACCAAAGGTTGCCGCCTGTAGACACACAGAATAAATGCTTACCCTTTCAAAAATGTCCGGATATACAGATTAAAACAGCATAAATGCAGATAGTATATGTTTTTGTTTTCTTATCATCACCCTGCAGGGCAACTTTGTCTTGCAGACACCACTTTGCGGAGCCCTCGCATGGATCAGTACATTTTGAAACCCCCTTGTAGCAATCACTTTTAGAATAGGAGAAGTCAGCAAATCTTTAGTAATGAAGGCAGGAAATCAGCTTGCAATTTATAAATGTTATGCTCGCCATCCATTTAATGTTCTAGTGGATAGCTCTTTGATAACCCCGGCTGCATCTACTCTTAGACAGTGTGTAATCCTCTTTGGCCAATCTAATCAGAGAGACATATGCCGAGATGGCGTTGGACAGTGATGAGTGGTTTAGTGGCTTTAGGAAGATGATCAGACATAAGCATGGACTAGATTATGTCCTTGCTCATCACCAGGCTCGGTAGTAATCACTATTTAGGGTTTGCATGCATTACTCCATGTTTGACCCTAACTTTGACTTGTCTGTACTTCTGTGGTCAAGCTGAAGTGATGGCCCAATTTTTTTATGTTTGGGTCAAAGTGGGAAAGGGAGTGCATGTGGAGGCACGTAATCCATACGTGAGCAGAAAGGCACACATGGATATTATAATAAAAATGAGTCAAAAATTCACACAGATGCACGTAGAAGCAGATTCTCCCATTCGTCTGACACACTGAGCCATCCACCCATTGTGTGGCAATGGACTAAGACAGAGCTGCCACCTCATCCTCCTCTCTCCCCCCAGGCATATTTCCCTCCTTCCTATATCTGAATTAGATAGAGCAAGAGATGAAGGAGGAGAGAAAGGAGGGAGAAGGGTGAATTGAGAAATGGGTGAATGAGTGCACACACTCAAGATCCTTTTTGACCTCTGGGGTGACTCCCAACCCAGGGAGACGAGTTATAGAGTCAGTCATGTGTGTAACCTCTCTGTGTGACCACACACACACACACACACACACACACACACACACACACACACGGAGTCACAAAGACATCTATCTGTCAAATTAATAACCCATAGAGAATAAAGGACACACTCCAAAATGAGCACATACCTCTAGTAGCAAGATTCCTGATGTTAGTTGAATCATACACTCATGTTGTCCTCATAACATAAGTTTAAATACACATACTACTTTATATCTTACTTTAGCAACAGCAGTTTTTTTTGTGCAGACTAAGGGAAGATTACACACTCACACACACACACACACTGTTGCTGATGATATCCATGGCTGCCACCACGCTGTAACTAGGCAACCAGTTTCTGCAGCACAGCATTGTGGGATACCCCTGGGAAGCGTGCTGAGAATGTCAACACTGAGAGAGCGTCTACAAAGAGCGAAACCTTAAAAATGTATTCTTCTTTTTCTAACATTCTCCAGATTGTCCGCTGATGTTTTTGTCAGCTCTCAGCTGTGTGTGATTCATGATGAGTGTGCGACATTGGCTCTGTGGGAGAGTGGTGTTCTTGTTGGTTTAACATTTGTGCCTCCGGAATGAGGAGTCGGTATGAGTGATACGCTCACACCATTTCCATGGATAGCCTTTAAGTGGCTGGATTGTCCGAATGCTTAAGCCAGTGACTCATGCTATGCATCATCAGCACTGAAGTGAGGCTGCAAAAGAGTTATCACTGTGGAAAAACTCCCTCTCTCAGCCACACTTTTGACTCAGACTAGGAAGCCACTTATTGTACGTATCATGTTGTCGCCTCAGTTTTTTTGTCTGTCAACAGGACATTAAAAAAAACATGTTATTGTGTTGGTGCAGTACCAGAGTGCGTGTCACTGTGAGCCTTTCCCTTGTGTATGTGTGTGTCATGGTCTGGTATTCATGCCTGTGTCCTGTGGACCCTATGCGCTAGCGTGTCAGCGGACATAAGCAAGTGTAGCGGGAGTGGCGAGTCGGTGAGGCAGGATATCCCCTCTCTGTCTTACAGGCTTCCTCTGCTTCTCTGGCACACATATAGAGATCCTTCCTCGTCCTCCTCTTCCTCCTCCTCTCACTTTACTCATTGCCTTGTTTTCTGCATTATAATTTCACATCCTTACATTCTTTCTGCTTTTTCCTCACCAAAAGCATTCAGTAGGCTTCTTTAATGGTGTCTGCTCTTTCCTGTTCTATCTTGCTCCACTTCTATTCTCAGCCACACTTGCTCTTGTTATTTTCTTCCCACTTCTCCGCCCCGTTCACGCTTACAGTATATCATTTTTAGAACAGCTTTTTTTTTTTTTTTTTTTACTTGTACTACGACACAAAAAGACAAACCAAGAAGAAGCAAGAGGGAGTAGGTGACATCGGGGAGTGGGTGAAAGTGAAAACGCATGCCATCTGCTTCGTTGAATGGGAATCGTTCCTCTTAAAGTTTAAGTCGCTCTGATACAATTAATTACAACCAAAGCAGCAGTGCTTTGCTCCTCTCTCGCAGTACTTTTCCTTTCAAACCTTGCCTATAATGGGCCACACAGTGTCTGTGTTTGTCTGTCCTACTGGCTACTTCACGCTGTAGAAATATAGTGGCGAATCTGTTCCTATAACTGTTTCGAGATGCTAGGGCAAATTTACTCATGCAAAGTACAGAAACACCCTGCCTCTCTTGGCCTGCCCGTCCGTCTCTCTGTCTGTCCGTCCATCCGTCCGTCTGTTGGTCTGTCGCTCTCACTTCTTCTATTTCGCTCTGTTTTCAAACTATCCATTCATATCTGTATCTCTGTCTGTCACCTTTGCCTAAAAGTGTCTTCATTTGTGTATGAAACTGTTTACCTGTTACTGTGGCCAGCCCATAAACGCGTTCACACACACACACACACGCACGCACGCTCTCTCTCACTCTCACTCACTCACTCACTCGAACACACACACAAACACACTCTTCTGTTGCATACTGAATGTGTAAGTGTGTTGTGTGAGTGTGCTATGAGATGAATGTGTAGTCTAATACAGAGCACTGGCACTCATCACACTTTACCAGCTTCTCTGATGTCAGGCCAGATTGCTCAGGTCAGTCAGACACCCTGCACAGACAGCAGGCTCTGTGTGGGTGTGTATATGAGAGAGACAGAGAGAGAATATATGTTTACATCAGCCATATATTAAAGTGATTAGACTGTGGAGCCAGAGAGACGAGTACTTGAACAAACAAGTAGCTGTTTGCTGCCAACACACACTTTACCTGTGTGTGTATACGTGCTTTCAAGGGCACTGGCGCGTGTCTCTGCCCCACGAGCATCTGTGTGCCACACAGACCTGCCTTGTACGCGGCCACTCTCTTTGACTCACCTTAATCCCTCATCAGGGAGGTATAAGAACTGACGTACAGCACCTATTAGCCTTAAATTATATCCCTTACCCCCTTACTGGCCTGCTACCAGACCCCAGAGCCCCCATAACTGTCACCACACAGCTCTGGCCTTGGTGTGGCATAACCACGTCAACATTGGCCCTTTATTAACGCTAGCTGCTTCTAATGAATGGCTTTAGCCTTTACACAATAAAACAGCCAATGTATGTTTGTGTTTTGTCTGCTACTGAGCTCCCGTATTACACACACTCATTCAAAGCCAGATGGATGGACGGATGTCATTTCTGGGCTCAATAGGCGCCAGTTTAGTTACTGTTGGAAAACGAGCTGTTTTTAAAGTACCTATCTAATATTGAGGGTGGAATGTGAGCAAACAGGACCCTGCTTGTTTTTCTTTCTGGTTAAGTGTCAACCAATTTATGCAAATGTAACAGAAAATGGGCCCAACAGCCTGCTTGCTTGAATACTACTCCTACTTACAGTTGGAGGCCTGATAACATCACAGCCGCAGGCATTGCTGCTTGCATACAAGAGAATTGCATTATAATACACGCAGAGCACAAACACTCTACCAACTACAAGACCTGTATGCAGACAGGATGCATTAATACTCAAAAAATAATTCCACAGTTTTTATTGATTGTTAATGACTAATGATTGGCTTGAAGTTCATTTTATACATCGTCATCATGGTTACCTGTAATGGAAATAAAATTAGAAATGACAGCATCATACTATTTCTCTGTCTCCGGTAATGTCCCTCTCTTATCGGATATCCACCCAACTCTTTAGTGAGAAATTACAGGAATAGGTTCTCTATATACTTGGAGCAAAGAATCGGAGATGATGACAAAGTAAAAGAAGGGAATGATGAAGAGGATGAAGAAGGAGTTACTCCTGTGTCCTGTGTTGATTGAGATGGGATGTCCAGAGCGATGAGATGACGTAGTTGACCGAGCCAGAGCTATATGAGTCTCTGGATGGGAGCTTCGGCTTCTCCGAGCCTGTCTCATCAATGTGACACACTCGTAGAGACAGAGCCACACACACACACACACACACACACACACACACACACAAACACTCATACACATGCAGGGGAGGATAGACAAAAATATAGTGACACCGATACTCATTCACACACCCCACTCGTGTACATGGTGCTTTTTACCACTGAGGTATCGTGATGGTTGTGCTGAGATGGTTGATATTGTTATCAACATATATCCTGCAAAAGGTAACGGCCAGTGCATATTAACTGGAAGGGGGGAACGGTGACATACTGTAGGTCTGGAGGAAGGAAGGAAAGGAAGGGAGGAAATGAGAAAAGAGCAATGGAGATGAGGGAAGAGGTAATGTGATGCAGGTAGGGAGGGGGGTGTGATGCTCATTTGAGGTCTGTTGGCTACTAATTGAAGGATGATTAGTGACTGACCTATCTGGTTGTGTATTAGGGACTGGTAAATGTGTGTCCTGTTCCTCTCTTCTAAGCTGATGCTGCAGCCACGGTTGTTTTCCAGATAATTGGAATCAGCTTAATCATGGGCGGGCCTCTCGTGATTGTAGCACATAAGAAAATATGAATATGAATGGATGAATAGAGCAGCTAATGTGATTATGAATGATTGGAATTTTTTTCTGGCTACGATATGTGGCGTCGTTTGAGTCACACACAGCTGGGCTCAATATAAATATTTCTTTATTCTTTCTTCTTTTATTTTCCTTTCTTACTTTCTCATTTTCTTCCTTCTATTATTTCTTTTTTCCTTTCTTGCTTCACTAGTGTTCAGTATAACACTGCATCTGTGATGCGTGTTTGCGAGAGAGAAAGAGAAAGAGGATTGGTGGATGAATCAGCCAGTGGGTGGAGAGAGAGCGAGAGACAACAAGAAAGAAGGAGGGAAGGATAGAGGAGTAAGAAAGAGTGGAGGGAGGGTGAATGAGCCAGTGGGGGTAGAGTGAGCAAACCGGCGAGTGAGGGAGAGGTAGAGGGAGGAGAGAAAGAGGAGGGGGATGTTGCCGCCGCTGCGACTGTTTCTCCTGTCAGTCGGCTGCTGCTTGCCTGGCAAGCAGGAGGGAATACAGAGCTAGAGAGAAGCAGAGAGGGGCACAGAGAGGCTGGTCGGGGCTGTGTTTTGTTCTAGCTGCACTATTGTAGCACAGGGTGCCGCAGACACGCTGTGAGGAAGTGGATTTTGGCACTGGACGCAGAACTGCAGATCCATGGATTACCAGCAGTGAGTAAGCTTGACTGCTACTGCCACTCTACTAACCCACTCGTCATTTTCAACAGAGGGGTTACCCCCACAGACTCACATGGCGGGGAGTCTGGACCCTCTGAAGACAGAGAGGCAGGGAGGGAGGGCAAACCAGATAGTCTGAGCATTTTCACACCTTTTTTCCCCCTCTGCTTTTCTCCCTCCATTTCTTTCAGTCTGCCTGTGTGTATCTCAAGAGTGTGTCACTGATGCTGTTGCTTGGCTCTCTACAGGAGGGATGCTGGAGGCTAATGTGGCTAACATTAGCATGACGGCCAAGCCCAGTGAGCTGGACGTGAGGTCTGCTGCTGTCTCCTGCCAGGAAACTTCAGCCCAGGCCATGGCCTCTAGGAAGCCCCAGGCCAAGCCTTCTGCTCTTCCCCCGGGACATTCACGACCCTCTGGGTCAGAGCTCAAGGTCTACCGGCCCTCCGCTGGATCTATCCCTATCCCAGTTCCCAATCCGTCCAGGCTCCGCAAGCAGCGGTCACTTAACAACTTGTGTGTGCTCACTGATGCTGAGAAGAAGCTGCACCTGTACCAATCTCCACGCTGGAAGGATGATGCGAGCCGGCCTGGCACAGACACCAACAAGCCGGGCCAGATTAAGACAGTTCAGGCTGGGGGTGGCAAACCACCACTTTCTCGGACCCTTTCAAAGTCAGAACAGTCTCTTTTCCAGGGTAAGCCCAAATCTTTCTGCTCCCCATCGGTGACTTCTTACGGGAACAAGCCGAGTCGAATCCCTGCCCCTGGTAAACCACGGGGACCCTATGCTGAGGTCAAGCCCATTAGCAAGGCCTCTGAAGCAGGCCAGAATGCAGACATAGACCCTGCAGACCACCCAACTAAGGCTAACTCCAATGGAGCAGGGAACACTGGGACGAATGGCAAGAAACTAGGGGAGAGGGAGAGATGTGCAGCTCTGTCAACAGAGGAGAAGAAAGACAGGAAGGGGATAGAGGGTGAAGAGGATAAGAGCTTTCTGAAGGTGGACCCAGAGTTAGTGGTGACGGTTCTGGGAGACCTGGAGCAGCTGCTCTTTAGCCAGATGCTTGGTGAGTCTGCTGTTATCTTTATTTTGCATGAACACATACAGCATGACAACAATTAGGACAGGGTACGATTATGTCAACATGTTAACAACAGTTACTTATTGATTCAGTATGACAGGTAAACATCTCCTCTCCTCTCCTCTCCTCTCTACACCCAAACCGTTCCCTCAGCTCTGGCTGTAGCTCCAGCATCAACAGTGAATTTTAAATGAGTCCAGTCTCTATTGCAGCAGAGCATAATGTCAGTGTGTTATTGTCAAGTGCTTTTCACTACACAATGGTGAGAGCCCTTGCTCTGTAGGTGGTGCAAATCCCTATGTTTTCACCACTGTGGCAGTCATTTGCTTTGTTTGTATGTGTAAGATTGGTTTATGTTGTGGTTGCGTGGATGTATGTTAGCTATGTGTGCTCGCATGAAGGAGCTGAAGTAAGCAGTTCCAGAGCTGACATTGTTTTCTTGTTGATTCATTAGGTAACACTGGAATGATTTGTCCTACTCCCATCTGACCCACTGCCACAGTGAGCTAGATATATATTAACCTATCAAATGCCTCCCTTCTCCCGCTCTCATTATATCTCTATCTCACAGGTTTCATGTCTCTAACTATACCACCCTGTTGGCAGGGGAACCTATTATTTTGAAATTGAAAGCAGTCCACGCATGTATGCGTCTATTTGTGCGGTAGTAAAGAGTCTAAACTGCATATTTCATGTCGATGCCGCAGCCACGGCATCTTCTGGCTCACGCCGAAATCAGCCATTCGTTAATAAAGGCCGTGTGAGTAGAACTAGTGGGGTGTGTGTTTTCACTCGGTAAATAAAACGGCTGCATATTGAGTCAGGCTCTGGTCACAGTGGGCCACATATTTAGCCTTGCACCACTCCCTCACCCCCTCACCCCCTCCCTCCCACCTTCCCTCCAGTTCCATTGATCTCCGGGCCACTGACAGATGGTCACTATCCACCCCCCCCCACACACACACACACAGCACACACACACACCCTCTTGTTACCGGGGGCAACGTGTGGAAGCAGGGAGGGGGTGGTGGCATGGGCAGGTAGTGAGCGTGCTATCATTCACATAAACTCACACGCAAAATGCACACACATGCACCCAGGACTACACACTGTCACACACTGGGGGGCGACTGTACCAGGACACATCCAAAGTTTTAGCTAATGGGGGTGTATTGCGAGAATGATGACTGAGTTTGTGACCTATTATTCATTCATACACACACACACACACACACACACACACACTGTGTTTTTCTCTTTTTATATATTTTGCTCATTGTCTCTCCATCTCTCCCCCTTGTCACGATAACATCAGAGAGTGAGGGAGATATGGAGAGTGGGTCGTTATATCTGTCTGGATGAGAGGAGATAATTTTCTGACCATCATCAAACCACTCTCTCTGTCTTCCTCCGCTCTCCTCATTTCCTCCCTCTCTCTTCACCAGCTCGCCTCCTGCTGCACACCCCCAAATCACAGCTTGTATGACCTTGCCCCCGCAGCCCTCTATGTGTATGTGCGTGTGTTTCTGTACTGTACATGCTGTGTGTGTGTGTGGTGTGTATCTGTGACCTTTTTCCAATCCTTGTGGTAACGTTGCTGGCGACAAGTTAGGAAAAAGAGTAAAGTAGAGGGTAAGAATTTAGATTCATGGGAGAAAAGTGAAAGGGGACGACTTCCTTCACAGAGGGAGATAAATAAGAGAAAGAGACAGTGGAGTAAAAATAATGGTTATAGCAATGATCTAAATTTCTACCTGGCATCCCAAGTGGCCGAGTGTTGCTTTGGGTCTTTTCAGCCTACCACAACCTGCCAGAGTTTTATCATCAAAACCACATTTGGTGTGTATATAGTTGTGGGAGTACGCACACGTTTGTGTGTGTGTGTGTGTGTGTGTGTGTGTGTGTGTGTGTGTCTGTGTTAGGAGGAGGTTAATTGTAACTTGCCCTGTAGCTTGCGGCTGTGGGCTCATCTTTTATAGTATCTGCTTCTCCATTTCCGATGGGACGCTCTGCTAATTGGTTTCTGCTCTGTGTGTTCTGTCATAGGAAGATAGATTATAGATGTTCAATGGATCATTCCCTGTGACCCCCTCCTCCCCTTCCTATATACATTCCCACCGTCTTCCCATCTGCTTCCTACATACAGGAAAGTGACGTGTCTTTGTATCGTATTATATCATGAAAACTTGACCTTAACTCGGTCATACCACGTTGTTATGGAAACTACATGTCAGCTGTTAGCGACAGGGAGTAAAATATGGGCCTCTTGTCTCTTGAACATGTTATGTTGTGTGACAGCTACCAGCATGCACTGTGGTACTGTCCTTTTGATATTAGCCTCCAGTTGTAGGCAAAGATAATGGAATGCCACTGAGGTCTAATCATTGGGATGTACTGTATAACCGAAGACCATCAGCTATGCACTTAAGGGATAACCGACCTCCCACACACACACACACACACAATGGAGAAAAGAAAAGACTCCAGGATATGTCAAGGTTAGGCCTATATGTTTATCTTGCAGGGTGATTTAGGATTAGTTTCAGTATAATCTGTTTTTCTTTAATCGGACATACATGTTTTACCACTGAGAGATGAAGAGCTTTTTCATTAATTGGATTTAGAGAATTACTTGACTTGTGTGTCCACGGACAGCAGCTCTGGACTTGCAGAGATAATTCTCCCAAATGCAGCATGTTTTATAAGATGTCTTGTTAACGGCGTTAGCATTAAGCTTGGACATAGATGCAGGGGATGATGAACTCTGTAAATTCTGCCAATAAAATGCACCGACCTGAATGACACCATGTAAAGCATATATTGCCAGGGTAATCTAAAACACTGAACCTCAGATGTGTGCCACTAATGACACCTTCCAGTCCCATCAGCACCCATAAAGAAGTGTATGCAAGAGGGTAAGCTCCCTAAAGCAGTGGCCTTTCCCAGCATGGGGCGGGCTCGGTTTAGAGAGGTGCTGTCTAAAGACACCAACAAGCCTCCGGATTAGGCCTTGCAAAAAGATAATGAGAAGATTCAGCCTCCATTCCACTAATCACACATCATCTATCACCCTGGAAAAGGCCAGCTATCAAGGCTAAAATGAATTACAGATTAAAGGAAAGGACATCTGTTTGGATGGAGATTTAGGTACGTATTAGGGGGGAATTTTTCTTTATCAAGGATGAAATAGAGAAAATAGATTTAGGTTAGAAGATTGGAGATGCTGTGTAGTTTTGGTGTTTGCTGAGCCGATCGTAGGAATTGGGAGACTGTGTTACTTACAGGCTCAGCAGAGGAGAAGTGAATAACACTCGGTGACACATGAATGCTCATAAAAGAAGCCTTGACTACCAACCTGCTTGTTATTTCAAAGTGACGTTGTATCGTTTGTGCGCTTGATGGCTACTCGTGGGAGACGATGCATCCTAGTCAGCTGTCTGCGGAACAATAAACCCCACAGAGAAATCGACAAAGCCCAAAAAAGAAGACACACACCGAGGCAAACACAGGCACACACACATAATCCTGTTCAAGAGAACTTAACAGCGCTGCAGGAAATAGCAAAGCAGCTGCAGCTTTAAATGTCCAAAGCTCACACACACACAAATTCAATGTGTGCCACACATGAGTCACTGATATCCTCTCCTGTCTACTCCCCTGTATTCATCTTTTTGGCAGTGACAGGGTATTTTTCACTCTTAGTTCCTCATTCCCTCCACTGTGATCGCAGTGCTGCTGAGTCTCTAATGTGATGCGGGTGCGGCCTGAGCGGCTGGTTCCACCCCGGGCTTCGCTGACTGAGGGATTCAGGGCAGTCGTCCTCCCATCAAGGAGGCGGTGACGAGCCAAATTAATGCAACTGCCAAGGAAAGTGAGGAATAAAGCATCGCTTCGATTTTTTTTCTTCCTCTCTCTTCCTCTTCCTCTCTTTCAACTCGAATGTGAGTTGACGGGTAGCAGTGTTCTGTCACCAGTCAGACAGCAGAGAAGGATATTTCTGGCAAGTGTTTCAGGAGGACAGAGGACAATCTTTCTAGTGTGAGGGAGGGATTTTGTCACCAGGAGTAGAAAGGAAGGTTTGCACATGGTTGCATGTATGATGGTGCATTTTCTCTATTTGTGTGTGTGTGTGTGTGTGTGTGTGTGTGTGTGTGTGTGTGTGTGTGTGTGTGTTTATAATGCATTGTGGTCAGTCTCTAAGGACTTAATGTAGGAGCCATTGCATTAGTGCTGTCTGCTTCCTGACATCCTCTTCCTAAATCATATTAGTCCACTCTGTGTTTTTGTCTCACCAGCTCTTACATAACACACATGCAGATACTCACATGCTGATTATCACTAAAACAAAACAGGCATATATATATACAGTATATATATATTTGTGGTTAACTAATCTTTCCAGGCAATAACAGAAGCCTGGTATATTATGCACAGTTTACTCATAAAACAAAATGTAAATGTGTGTGTGTGTGTGTAAGTAAAACTTTATTTATAAAGCACCTTTTTTTTAACACGGGATACAAAATTTTTTTTACAGTAGTGTCAGTACAGAAAACACAAATTCCAAGTGCAAAGCACAAACAAGACAAAACAACAATCAAAAACACCTACAAACACAACACACTTCGGAACACACACGGTTACCATGCCGATCAACCCTTGAACTTACGGCAGATCTAACGTGAGGGGGGAGATTTTGTTTCAAAGTATGCGTGCTAGGACAGCAAAATCAAGTTATCTAGGCCGTTTTGTGATGACGAATGCTGTACTATTTGTGTTTTCCTCGTATGAAAGGTCTCCGATAAAAGTGCGTTTTGTTACTGAGGTGTATGTGTGCATGTTGTAGCTGCTGTAAGGAAACAGTATTAGTCACGTACACATGCATCTGATGACAGTATTGTGGTTAGCTTACATCAGTGACAATGCTAATGCAGTATCAGTGGTGTGGGTCAAAGCTCAACCAACAACAAGAAATAAACAGAAAC